AGTATTAAGTCTGTATCAATGTTTGATTATCACCAAAGACAAGAAAGGTTAATATTTACATGAAATCTATGACAAAATGTTTTTAAATTTATGAAAAAAATTTTTTTTTTTAATTTAAGATAGAAACTGGTTCAAACAATAAATCAATATTTGTTCTTGTTATTTTATATCTCTTTATGACAAGAATCCTTTCACATACAACAACTTTCTTTCTAGAAACTATAAAAAAATTTTAAATTGAACATTTTTGGTCTTTTGAATGATATTTCATTTTTATTGATCATGGATTTTATAAAAGAATTGATTACTTTAAATTAAGATGAATATTTTGTAAATGAATCATGTTTTATTTATTTAAAAAAAATATTAGAGTATACAAACTGTTTATTGATTTACTTCTTTTTTTACCAATAATTTTCTGATTCAATGTCTACATAACACAGTACCACAATGTTAAAACAAAACAAGAGACATACTGCAGTAACTAGAAATATAGCTAAGCAACGCAACGCAACACAACTGATTGTATGAATCATTTCACCAAGCTGTCCACACGCGTTACCCTGGTGCTATCCAAAACTCCTGGGGAGAACACTGTACCTGTTTCCTTTCTCAAATGTACATGATGTTTACGTGTTTCCTTTCTCAAATGTACTTCTCAAATGTACATGATGTTTACTGATTTCCTTTCTCAAATGTACATGATGTTTACCTGTTTCCTTTCTCAAATGTACATGATGTTTACCTATTTCCTTTCTCAAATGTACATGATGTTTACTTATTTCCTTTCTCAAATGTACATGATGTTTACCTATTTCCTTTCTCAAATGTACTTCTCAAATGTACATGATGTTTACCTGTTTCCTTTCTCAAATGTACATGATGTTTACCTGTTTCCTTTCTCAAATGTACTTCTCAAATGTACATGATGTTTACCTATTTCCTTTCTCAAATGTACATGATGTTTACCTGTTTTCTTTCTCAAATGTACATGATGTTTACCTCAGTGTTCTCCCCAGGCCCTTAAAGGACCGCGGGCCCGCGATGTATAATTTTTGACCGTGGTGCTTAAATTTTCAGTAAAAAAATTGTAAATCGGTAAAGTTTTAAGCGATTTGTTTAATCTTTTCCGTGCGGTATAAAATTCCTGGTGAAATTTGACCAGTTCAAACCAGTTTACCCAGATTGTTGACACCACGTGATCGATTTACCTTATGAGGTTAACCTTGTTGATTGGATTTAATCCATGTAATTATAACTTGTTACATTATTCTTTTGTGTTTTAATTAGGAGTTCATAACTTTATGATCACTGATAACTATTTTATGGCTTCACTCACAACCCAAGCGCTGACCTGTGACAAGTCTGCAAATACTTTGTACACAAACAGTGTGAACCCGATAGTTGCACACACGCCTGTACATTTTTTGTACATAATAAAGTTAGCTCATTAGTATAGTATAATATGTCTGATTAAACCATGGCCAAAATTTTCTTTAATTATGACATAGTAAGTGCATGATATTGGGTTTCAAACTATAGTATCTGTGAAGGGGACGGATATATGTACATATCACATGACCCAGTTAGTTCACGTAGAATATTAAAGTGTGTTTGCAATTAATTGCAATTTATTCTATTTAATAAATAAAATGTATGACTGTACCTTCAAACTGGATATCTATATCCACAATTAATGAATAACAGAAGTAATCTTGCAAATTTTATCCATGAGCCAATGTTAAATCTATTTATATCTACTTCCTGTCATTTAGGCGGGAAAAATAGGGAGACTTTGTTGTTGACATTGAATACCTAAGATAAATTTATAGATTTAGGAATTCTTTTTAAATGGATCATGACAAATAAAGATTTAGATTTCAGTGCAGTATTAAGTCTGTATCAATGTTTGATTATCACCAAAGACAAGAAAGGTTAATATTTACATGAAATCTATGACAAAATGTTTTTAAATTTATGAAAAATTTTTTTTTTTTTAATTTAAGATAGAAACTGGTTCAAACAATAAATCAATATTTGTTCTTGTTATTTTATATCTCTTTATGACAAGAATCCTTTCACATACAACAACTTTCTTTCTAGAAACTATAAAAAAATTTTAAATTGAACATTTTTGGTCTTTTGAATGATATTTCATTTTTATTGATCATGGATTTTATAAAAGAATTGATTACTTTAAATTAAGATGAATATTTTGTAAATGAATCATGTTTTATTTATTTAAAAAAAATATTAGAGTATACAAACTGTTTATTGATTTACTTCTTTTTTTACCAATAATTTTCTGATTCAATGTCTACATAACACAGTACCACAATGTTAAAACAAAACAAGAGACATACTGCAGTAACTAGAAATATAGCTAAGCAACGCAACGCAACACAACTGATTGTATGAATCATTTCACCGAGCTGTCCACACGCGTTACCCTGGTGCTATCCAAAACTCCTGGGGAGAACACTGTACCTGTTTCCTTTCTCAAATGTACATGATGTTTACGTGTTTCCTTTCTCAAATGTACTTCTCAAATGTACATGATGTTTACTGATTTCCTTTCTCAAATGTACATGATGTTTACCTGTTTCCTTTCTCAAATGTACATGATGTTTACCTATTTCCTTTCTCAAATGTACATGATGTTTACTTATTTCCTTTCTCAAATGTACATGATGTTTACCTATTTCCTTTCTCAAATGTACTTCTCAAATGTACATGATGTTTACCTGTTTCCTTTCTCAAATGTACATGATGTTTACCTGTTTTCTTTCTCAAATGTACATGATGTTTACCTGTTTCCTTTCTCAAATGTACTTCTCAAATGTACATGATGTTTACCTATTTCCTTTCTCAAATGTACATGATGTTTACCTGTTTCCTTTCTCAAATGTACTTCTCAAATGTACATGATGTTTACCTGTTTCCTTTCTCAAATGTACATGATGTTTACCTGTTTCCTTTCTCAAATGTACTTCTCAAATGTACATGATGTTTACCTATTTCCTTTCTCAAATGTACATGATGTATACCTGTTTCCTTTCTCAAATGTACATGATATTTACCTATTTCCTTTCTCAAATGTACATGATGTTTACTTATTTCCTTTCTCAAATGTACATGATGTTTACCTATTTCCTTTCTCAAATGTACATGATGTATACCTATTTCCTTTCTCAAATGTACATGATGTATACCTATTTCCTTTCTCAAATGTACATGATGTATACCTATTTCCTTTCTCAAATGTACATGATGTTTACCTGTTTCCTTTCTCAAATGTACATGATGTTTACCTATTTCCTTTCTCAAATGTACATGATGTTTAACTTTTTATACAACAGCAAAATAAATTTTGCGGTCGTATTGGTATGACGTTTTCGGCGGTGTCGTCCGAAGACACATTGGTTTTCGCACTCTCACTTTAGTTAAAGTGAATGGATCTCTATGAAATTTTACCATAAGGTTCAATAACACAAAAGGAAGGTTGGGATTGATTTTGGGGGTTATGGTACCAACAGGTAAGGAATTAGGGGCCAAAAAGGGGCCAAAAATAAGCATTTTTGTAACTTCCAGACATAACTTGTGTGTTAGTGTATGGATCTCTCTGATATTGTACCACAATGTTCCATATCACAAAGGGAATGCTGGGATTGATTTTTGGGGTAATTGCCTCCAAATTAAAGAATTAGGGGCCAAAAAAGGGGCAAAAAACAAGCATTTTTCTAGTTTCATGACAATAAATTGTGTGTTAGTGTATTGATCTTTATGAAATTGTACTTCAAGGTTCCATATCACAAAGGGAAAGCTGGAATTGAGTTTGGGGGTAATTTCCCTAAATGTTTAGGAATAAGGGGCCAAAAAGGGGCCAAAAAAAAGCATTTTTCTAGTTTCACGACAATAATTTGTGTTCAAGTGTATGGATCTCTCTGAAATTGTACTGCAAGGTACCATACCACAAAGGGAAGGCTGGGATTGAGATTGGGGGTGATGAATCATAAGGGGGTTCAAAAAATTGGGGGGGGGGGATTTTTTTTTCCTTTTTTTTCTTTAAAATTTTCCATTTTAAATTGGTTATTTCTGATTTATATATAAAAGCAAATAATAATGATAAGGTTTGAATAGGTAAATTAAAATTTTTTTAAGTTCTTAGACCACATTCATTCTGTGTCAGAAACCTATGCTGTGTCAAATATTTAATCACAATCCAAATTCAGTGCTGTATCAAGCTTGAATGTTGTGTCCATACTTGTCCCAACTGTTCAGGGTTCGACCTCTGCGGTCGTATCAAGCTGTGCCGAGCGGAGCATTTTATTCCTTTCTCAAATGTACATCATGTTTACCTTTTTCCTTTCTCAAATGTACATGATATTTACCTATTTCCTTTCTCAAATGTACATGATATTTACCTATTTCCTTTCTCAAATGTACATGATATTTACCTATTTCCTTTCTCAAATGTACATGATATTTACCTGTTTCCTTTCTCAAATGTACATGATATTTACCTGTTTCCTTTCTCAAATGTACATGATATTTACCTGTTTCCTTTCTCAAATGTACATGATATTTACCTGTTTCCTTTTTCAAATGTACATGATATTTACCTGTTTCCTTTCTCAAATGTACATGATATTTACCTGTTTCCTTTCTCAAATGTACATGATATTTACCTATTTCCTTTCTCAAATGTACATGATGTTTACCTGTTTCCTTTCTCAAATGTACATGATATTTACCTGTTTCCTTTCTCAAATGTACATGATGTTTACCTGTTTCCTTTCTCAAGTGTACATGATATTTACCTATTTCCTTTCTCAAATGTACATGATATTTACCTGTTTCCTTTCTCAAATGTACATGATGTTTACCTATTTCCTTTCTCAAATGTACATGATGTTTACCTATTTCCTTTCTCAAATGTACATGATGTTTACTTATTTAGTTTCTGAAATGTACTTTATGTTTACCTATCTCCTTTCCAGCATTATTAGAAGCTAGAGGATTGTCATCAACTTTATTCAACACACTAGGACCCAGAATGCATCAGATTTTACACAGAACTATGGGAGGAGGAGCAAGTATGTACAAACTTCTGTTGTAATCAATTTCACCAAAAAATTTTGGAAGAAAACATACAATCAATTTCATTCATAATATTCTTTGTGGAAAGAGCTACAGGCTGAGAAGATTTCATGGAAAAACTGAAAAAATTTGAAATGTCTGCAGATAGGTGTGGATTGAATATCAGATCTTCACCAGACAAATTATTTCACTTATATTCTTACAATTTAGAATGTAGTGATCGTTGTGATAACCATGCTGCTTTCCTGTGTTACCAACTTCAATGTTCACAGATTAATTAGTGGGTCCATTTCAAATAAACAATTAATGATAAACCATAGATATTTGGTGTGTGGTATGAGTTGTATTCACTTTTTTCAAAAAGAATATATGTGTCCCTTTAATCATTCTATAGGGGCTAAAACAAATTCCAATATTAAACCTATTTTACAATGTTCTAGACCATTGATATCCTATATGCCTCATGTAGAATATTGGGTTCAATCATGCTGTTGTCAATTTGGAATTGTTACATAAATTACAAGTTTTAAATTTATTGTGAAAATGAAGTACAAATTGATTTGTGGGGGGGGGGGGGGGATAAAGATTGCATTTGTGTTATTAAAACTTTATGGGACTGCCTTAATAGTTATCAATTTTCCAGACTTTATCACTACTTTTGAAGAAAAAAAACATTTTGCATTGCACATAACATTCTATCCATGAACATTTCAAAACTTGTCAATGAAACTCCAATTCATAGTATTGCCTTCCAATGCTTAACAATGCAATGATTAATTTTCAGTTTTTCCCCCATGAAATGAATGCAATCTTAACCCTTCAGTACTCACAGGCACTTTGATTAATGTATTGAATGGCATGTCCATCTTTTGTCATCAATTTATTGTCACATTTTCTCCCATACAGCTTGAAATCATGGCTTATTTAAATTAAAAAAAAAACATCTCAATGAACTTTTTATTCACTCAAACAAAGATGCCCTAACACAATTTGGAATTCATAGTTATGTCCCGCATACTGTTTTAAGGAGCATTACATTTCTGGTCTCTGCATCCCTCTGTCCCCCCTTTAGTCATCAAATATCAGGTTAAAATTTGGTGAAGGACGTTTACAATGAAGTTTTGGTCAAATCAACTTAAAACTAAGTACACATGCTCATTGTGAGAATAACATTACCAGTTACATTCTTGACACCAATTTCATGGTTCACTGAACATAAACAAAAGATCGTGCCCCAGGGTATGGTTTTATATTGACACATATTCTTGGTATATGTTAGAATATAACAAAGTGCTCTCGACCAATGAAATTGTAGGATTTGGTGTTTCTTAAATGTGAAGAATGAATGAAATCATGTTCTTAGTAAGGGATTATCCTATTGTTTAGGCCTACGTACAGTTCAAAACAAAGAGTTTCTATAAATGAGTTAAAATGCCCAGAAGCACATTTATCAGCTTGAAAGAATTTGAGATAAAAACTGACTATAAATTGAATTTTGAAATAAACAAAAAAATCAAAATAAGATGAAGTTTACTGGTGTAGTAACATTGGTACCGTTAACGTTATTATGAGAATATTAATGACTTCAAATTACAAAAACGAAAATAAACAACAGCAAAGCAAGGAAAAAAAAAAGGGAAAAAAGTTTTAAAATTAAATAAAACCTAAATCTTTAGCTTATACTCTTTCAAAAACTCAGATTACTGGATCCGGGGTTGGTGAGAATAGTAATTTCCAATATTCTGATAAAATTCTAAAAAAAGGAATTTAGTTTAACTTTTGAATATATTTTAAACTTTCAAAGGCATTGTATTTGAACATTTCCCTGACATAATGAAGTAGTATTTGATGTAAAGGAAGACTCAAATTTTGAATTTATTGATTTGAACTGGAAATAAACAACTTTAGAATACAGTCACTTTAATTGGGGTGGTCATACATTACTGTATGGAGTATTGGTTAGGCATTGAAATTCATTTGTATAGAGAGGAAAGGGTTGAGCCAAAGTTTGTCACAAATTATGTTAAATCCTCACATGATTCTGTTCATTTTAGTGAGTAAAGCCCAGCAATTATTGCAAGGTTTACAAGCAACAGGGAATGAGGACCAACAACTGTCTGCAGCTATTGAAATGTGTCAGGTAATTATTAAACATCATTTTTGCATACTGTATATGTACTTTTTTTCATGAATACTTATTTCCGTGGATTTGGTATTGCCGATGCATACTCATGTATTTAATTTCGCGGTATTGTAGAAAATATCAAAACATTAATAACTAGTAATATATTAAAATGTTCATTAATTTAGTCTATGTTTATCTAGCAATTGTATAAAACAAAATAAACAAAGATTATTTAATCACCAAATTAGTCGTCTGTTCATTAGAGATTATTATCTGATTACACAAGAAAGTTGTAATATTTGGCTTGAGGCATTATCTATTACTGTTAAACTTTAATTGATTTTTTGTATTGATCACTGATGATGTTTTAACAGTTTCATAGTTTGATTAAGTTTATTTAAGGTAAACAAAGTAATCATGCATGTGCAGCTGATAATTCCAGTGATATTTATAAGATGATATTTATTATGCATGTAAGCTGCATTTGTATTCGCAAAAATATACCTATCAAGAAATTCTTTTTTATTATTGTGAATCCTAAATTGTCGCAATAATAAAAACTTTGCAAAAACTTATGAATTTACAGTATATAGTCAATATTCTATTTGGACTGTGGAATGTTCAAGAGATATGCTATGGGTGAGGCTAGATCACCTAATTTTAGAAATTTTAATTTATTTGTCAAGTGGTGTTTTTTAGGGTGATTAAACAGGTGTTCACTGGCAATATAGAGGTCAAATGAATGTAAACTTTTGCGTTATTTTAATTATCAGGTGAATTGTTCTTTTATACATGTACTATGAGAATCACAAAAGTTAGCTGGAACTCATCACAGCAAATGATGATTATGCCAAAGACTTTTCCTGAAAAAATCTAGTGAGAAACCTGCTTAAAAAAGGATTGTTAGTTAATTATTTAATGTGTCTATGTATTTGTACAGTTGTTGGTTATGGGAAATGAAGATACATTGGCAGGATTCCCAGTAAAACAAGCAGTACCAGCACTGATTACACTGTTACAAATGGAACATAATTTTGATATTATGAACCATGCTTGTCGAGCCTTGACCTACATGATGGAAGCTCTACCCAGGTCATCAGCTGTTGTTGTTGATGCTGTGCCTGTATTCCTTGAGAAAGTGAGTAGAATAAAGTGATTAGTGTATACAATCCTGTGTACAGCCATACAAAAATTGTGATTGAAGAAAATAGTTTGAATAAAGTTCTTACACAATTTGTTTATTAGGAAAACTAATGTTTTGAACATTTTTCAACAAAGTAAGAAGCTACAAAACCTATTATCCGTCATTTTGGTTGCTTTCCTAGACCAGACACAGTGAGAATGTTAGATCATAAAGCATTGTTCCCTTGTGTCTCTTGCAGTATTGCAATCATTTTTTGGGAGGGGGGCACTGCTGTTTGCCCGGTTCTTGCTGCTGACAAGTCTATATAAATTAGCTGAATTTTTATCTCATTTAAAAAACAATTTTGTTCTTCAAATGATCAACTACACCTTTGCCTTGTATTGTATATCTGAAATTATGATTGTTATTGCCCCGTGTGGGTCCATGAGAAGAATGATAAAATATTTGATTTAAATCATTACAAAACAAAAGATTGAGCACCCTGAACCCACCCCCTTCCTCCATCCCCCATATCAGGAAAAAAAACCAATAAAAAAGATGAAAACTAGATGGTTTGGAAGAGAAAGCAGTTCCTTCTCCACTAATAGTATCTGTTGTGATGTCCATGTCAAAATCTGGTAATGTTACAGTTGAGGAAAGAAAGACTTGATTGTGTCAATGACAAATGGAACATACCCTTAACATCTGTGACATGGTCTGTAAAATTTTTGAAGAGAGGACTTCAAAATTCCATTATATGAATCTAAGGTTAAACGATTAGGCCTAGCATCCTATCATTCTTCTAGAAAGCCCTTAAGTCTTTTTCATATGAATAAAGAAAAAATTATGGTGGGAAAAGGAGCATAGCAAGTCTCCATAGGAATAATCACATTAGAACAGACTATCTTTGAAGAAATATTATTCTCAGTATGTTGAACTGAAAAAAAAAAACTGAAAAAAAACTTGAAGAAGTAACAATGATGATGATATTGTTTCAGCTAAGAGCAATACAGTGTATGGATGTTGCTGAGCAGTCCTTAACAGCATTAGAAATGTTATCAAGAAGACACAGTAAAGCAATATTACAAGCTGTAAGTTTAGTGAAAAGATGGATATTATAATATTCAGATTGTTTTATAAAAAGAAATGATTCTTATGATCTTTTCTATTAATTCTGCACAAAAGTCAGCTTTTTCTATTAATTCTGCACAAAAGTCAGCTTTTTCTATTCAATTAATAATCCTGTTTTGAATCATTATTGAAATAAAAGAGAACTTCAGACTGTATTTCTATTAAGAATTGATAAGAGAGTAATTGCAGTGTTACTTTTATATTTCAGGGAGGTATTTCAGCATGTCTGATGTTTCTGGACTTCTTTAGTATTACAGCACAGAGAAGTGCTCTAGCAGTGACGGCCAACTGTGTACAGAATCTTACAGCAGAAGAGTTCCACTTTGTCAGAGAATCTCTACCATTACTCAGTTCGAAACTCACCCATCAGGTACACACAAGCACTGAATATTTCCACTTTTCAGAAGGTCTCTACCATGGCTTGAATCTTATTTCACCCATTAGATCAACACAAGCACTGTCAATTTTTATTTGATATTTTCAATTATTTTTCGGGATTGGAATTTTAATCATTAAAAAAAATACACATTTCTTTAATTTTAAAAAAGAATTAAATTACTGATAATGTGATTTCAGGATAAGAAGTCTGTGGAGAGTTGCTGTTTATGTTTCTCTCGATTGGTTGATAATTTTAGCAGTGATCAGAGAGTACTGAAGGAAATGTCAGCTCATGGATTGTTAACTAATATTCAACAGCTCGTAAGTTTAATAATAACATAAATGAGTCCAAATTTAATGCACCAGAAACTGTCAGATGTACTTATTTCAATTAAAATTATATAACAAAAATTATAGGCAGAAGGAAATTCAGAAATTATTGCGAATTTGGTGGAATGGACTAAAATTAATTATTGCAATTTCAGTAAAAACCTTCATACAGTTATATGTATCAGGTATAAGAATGTGAGTTCTTATTAATGCGATACTCATTCAGCTGCATTATTCGCATTCATAAAAACCTGGCAATAATTTCTAAATTTACAGTAACCCAATGATATTAGATTAATTATATTTTGGTGTAGTTTAACTGATTTTCATTGCAGTAAATTCAGAAATTGCTACATGCTATTTATTGCATTGTTGAACAATGGACAAACGTGAGAATTATTATGATTTCAGGAAATGATGTAGAAACTTTCTTGTTGCAATTTTCCCAATAATTAAAACATTGCAAAAAATCTCTGAATTTACCTTATTTTGTAGGAAGTAATTTTTCATAAAATAATTACCTACTAGGCTGTTTACCTATTGTTAACAAATTTGATACACCAGTTCTTTCCAGGTGCACAGGCATGATATACACATAAAGATGGAACAAATACAGAATAATAAGTTCACTAACATTTTTCAGTTGTGTAAAGTAATGTTTTTAGATGACTCATCCATAATTTAGTTTTTAGTTGGTAATGTATCCGTATAACAATTCCTCAGTAAGTAAACATGATGAGTCCCATCTAAGAACTGCAACATTAATTTGAGATTCTCTTGGGTTCTTCATACATGGAAATGTACAAACTGTGTTATTTTTGCTTATGCTTCATTCAAAGGTTCAAACATAAATCAACAATATTCATGTAAAGGGTGTGTGTATCTTGCAATGCACACATTTCATTGATCCCTCCCCCTTATTTGTTTTAATACATTACTTGTACCTATATTTTTCAGTTGGTTGTGAGCCCACCTGTCATAAGTACTGGTATCTTTGTTATGGTGATCAGAATGTTAGCAATAATGTGTGCTAGTTGTCCTGATCTAGCCGTTGTTCTTCTCAAACAGAGTAAGTATGCCACTATAATGTTAGCAATAATGTGTGCTAGTTGTCCTTATCTAGCCGTTGTTCTACTCAAGCAGAGTAAGTATGCCAAATTAATGTTAGCAATAATGCGTGCTTGCTGTCCTGATCTACCAGTTGTTCTACTCATACAGAGTAAGTATGCCACTATAATGTTAGCAATAATGTGTGCTAGTTGTCCTAATCTAGCCTTTGTTCTACTCAAACAGAGTAAGTTTGCCACTTTAAAGGAACAAAAGTGTGTATGATTTTTTTAAATATGTGTCTTATACTATCATTTATGTTTGGCATCCACACATTGCAAAACTGGCACATGTGAATAAACACCTATAACTTTTTCTTATCAGAAAAATATATTCTGGATCAATTGTTTTTATTTATATTGGTTGAATGATATTTTTTTTTACAAAAGGCAAGATACTTTATCCTTCTATACAAAACAATAGAATGGAATAATTTTATTTAAAGCTTACCTCCAGAAACAACAACAACCATTCATTTTTTTTAAAGAAGTATTTCAAATCACCCTTTTTATTCTAGAAAAGGCTATGGAAATAAATAAAAGTAAATAAACTTACAGTGATCATTCAAAATGTTTTCTTCTATTTATATGCATAAACACCTTTCTTATCTTTTTGATGATTTGTCTCTAGCAGTAAATTTGAACATTATTTATTTTTAGAAATAGCTGATACCTTATGCTACCTTTTGGTCGGAACTTCTGAACAGACTGAAAATGTTGTTGAGGTGTGTTTAACTATTAGATTTTTAGCTATAAAAATATTTCAGATATTTATTAAATTGAAATTTTTTGACTGTTTAGTTGAATGTCAATATACACTTAATCTAAAGCAAGGGAGTAATAAATTGTACAAATGCCTGCTTGAAATCTCTAGCAACTACATAGTTTCTAAAACTTGTTTTTAGTCCCCTATCGACGAAGTCGAAGGGGACTTTAGGTTTGCACTCCGTCCGTCTGTCCATCCGTCAGTCCGGCAAATCAGTTTTCCACACTTTTTTTCTTCGTGCTTGAAGATATTGATTTGATATTTGGTATATAGTTTTATCATGACCAGTTACAGATCAAGTTTTAATTTTGTTCCGGTCTGATGATTTTGTCCAGAGTTATGGTCCTTGGACTTAGAAACTTCACTCAAATAATCAGTTTTCCTCATTTTTTTTCGTCATGCATGAAGATATTGATTTGATAATTTGTATATAGTTTTATCATGACAAGTTACAGATCAAGTTCGAATTTTGTTCCGGTCTGATGATTTTGTGCAGAGTTATGTTCCTTGGACTTAGAAAATTCACTCAAATAATCAGTTTTCCACACTTTTTATGCCCCACCTACGATAGTAGAGGGGCATAATGTTTTTCGGTCTGTGTGTCCGTTCGTTCGTCCGTCCGTCCGTCTGTTCGTCCATCTGTCCCGCTTCAGGTTTGTTTTTGGTCGCTTCAGGTTAAAGTTTTTGGTCAAGGTAGTTTTTGATGAAGTTGAAGTCCAATCAACTTGAAACTTGATCTTTCTAATTTTAATGCCAAATTAGAGTTTTGACCCCAGATTTATGGTCCACTGAACATAGAAAATGAAGGTGCGAGTGGGGCATCCATGTACTATGGACACATTCTTGTTTTGTCATGCTTGAAGATATTGACTTGATATTTGTTATATAGTTTAGTGACTGTTTACACCATGACAAGTTATAAATCAAATTAGCATTTTGTTCCAGTACAAAGAATTCTTAACCAGTAGTGGACTATGTATTGCCATGCAATACTTTCAGAATGCTTGTTGAATGTATTTATTTCATTAATAACAAATATTGCATTATAAATAGGTTGCCTATAATTGCTTGTACGTACTCTTCATTTGAACTCTGGCCAATAGTTGTCTCATTGGCAAATATGCCACATCTCCTTATTTTTATATTATATGTTGAGGCATACAAATTTTCTCTTTAAGAATTAATATTAATATAAAAAAATGAGTTAATGACAAAATATGAATTTGAATTTGATTTGATTTCAGTTGGTATCTAGGACACCACAGGAGCTGTATGAGATTGTTTGTCTTATTGGGTAAGTTACTTTTTAACAAATGATCAAGGCATTATGGCAAACTTGATTAAATTAATTTTCATTCATACTCTAGGCATAGCAATTGTCGAGCAGTAGGATATAACGACTGATTTATTCAGGCTACATTATGAAAAGGAGGTTTAACCTTTCTTACTGATCACCCATCATTGTACCTCATCACTGGCACATGCATATCTAAGTAATGGCGGCTTTAGTTTGCAAACAGAATATTTTCTTGAAAATAGTAAATTTAAGAGTATTATCATCGCTTAAAGAATATTGACAGCAGTATAATGAATTATATGCTTGGTTTAAACGTATCCAACAGTTTTCTGGGGTAATTAATTCCTTTTTTATTGTGGATGCACAGGTGTGTGATTACGTAATTCATTGACCTCTCAGCTGATATTTGCCAGAGGTGAAGTTCTAAAGGGATTATAGCTTGAATATTGTTTTTACAAAGAAATAATTGCTGACATGTGATTTTGACACAGGGACTATCATTGATTAAACAAAAGCATTTGGCGATAGTATTCAATCTGGAAAACAAACATGTTGCCTAATTTTCCTCAAAGATTGACAATTAGCATGTTTAAGGAAAAGAATAACACAACTTTTTAATACAAGGAAATTCTCATCCTTGCTTGGTTTACATAAGAATATATATATACTGTGGATTCATTGATTTTCATGGGTATCAATGTTCGTGGATTGGGGAAATATCGTATTTTCGTGGATACTTGATTTCATGGTTTTGCAAAATGCTGCATACAAGCTAATATAGACTCCCTTCTTCGCTGAACATTTGAATTCGTGGTTCACTTTTGCCCACGAAATCAACGAAAATTGGTATCCCACGAATAATAATGAATCCACAGTATATGATAAGCATACAATCTTTATATATAAACAATAAAAGCATATAATTGTATTAATTAATAGATGTATTTTATTGTTTACAGGGAATTAATGCCCAAGTTACCAACTGATGGTATATTTTCCATTGATCAAATGTTACGTAAAGGATCCTTTACTCAAACCGAGGCAGTCATGTGGCAATGGAGGGATGATAGGAGTATCTGGCATCATTATACAGCAATAGATAGTAAAATTGTAGAGGTAAATACGGTGTGAAAAAAAGACGTAAAACACTAAGGGCACATCCAAAAGTCATATAAAGAGAAACTGACATCATTGTGGCAAAAAAAAAAAAACTTTGAAAAGACAAGTCCATAAAATATAACAAAGAATATTTAGGACTGATCAACACTAACCTCACAGAAAACAGGGCGAACTCAGGTAATGTGAAGGGTAGGCAGATCCTGCTCCACATGTGGCACTTGTCATGTTCATTATCATAAGTACAAATTTGGTGATAAGTCTCAAGTATAAGGTGCTCCTCATTGTGGCATCATTTATATATTCAGCAATAGATTGTAAGAGTGTAAAGGTGATATTCAGATAATCTTTAGAATGTAAAATACTCATTTAAGTGCCCATTTGAGTATGGATGTTTGATAGAGAGGAGAAAACCTTTTATATACTACTTGATGTATAATCCTTATGTTAAATAAATAGTGTCATATTGGATCATTATTTTCTTATTACAGGCAGCATATCAAGCTGGAGAAGATGAAGTTAGTTTATCTACTATGGGCAGGTCATATACAATAGACTTTAATTCCTTGCAACAGATTAATGAAGACACAGGCACAGCTCGACCTGTACAGAGGAAGCTTAATTCATTTGGTGTCCCACAGCCTACAGGTTAGAACTTGAGAAATTAAAACCAATCCAGGCAGTGTGTTGAAAAATTAGTCTTTTAAAATTCATTCAGTAAATGCATGAAAAAATATGTGGAATTTACAGAAAGAAAAAAGTAATCTGCTTTGAAAATATTAATTATGAAAAAATGTTTTAATGCGAATTATTTTGAAGTTTAAACTTATGATACTTTGAAGGAATGTCATGAAAGTGATATATTTGGCGTCTTTAAACCTGCTTCAGAACACTACATAAAAGTGAGATGTTTGGTGTCTATAAACTTGCTTCAAAGCACTCCATAAAAGTGAGATGTTTGGTGTCTATAAACCTGTTTCAAAACACTACATAAAAGTGAGATGTTTGGTGTCTATAAACTTGCTTCAAAGCACTCCATAAAAGTGAGATGTTTGGTGTCTATAAACTTGCTTCAAAGCACTCCATAAAAGTGAGATGTTTGGTGTCTATAAACCTGCTTCAAAACACTTCATAAAAGTGAGATGTTTGAGGTCTGAACCTGCTTCAAAACACTACATAAAAGTGAGATGTTTGGTGTCTATGAACCTGCTTCAAAACACTCCATAAAAGTGAGATGTTTGAGGTCTTTGAACCTGCTTCAAAACACTTCATAAAAGTGAGATGTTTGAGGTCTTTGAACCTGCTTCAAAACACTACATAAAAGTGAGATGTTTGGTGTCTATAAACTTGCTTCAAAGCACTCCATAAAAGTGAGATGTTTGGTGTCTATGAACCTGCTTCAAAACACTCCATAAAAGTGAGATGTTTGGTGTCTATGAACCTGCTTCAAAACACTTCATAAAAGTGAGATGTTTGGTGTCTATGAACCTGCTTCAAAACACTTCATAAAAGTAAGATGTCTGGTGTCTATAGACCTGCTTCAAAAAAACTACTTTCTAAATGAAAGTACAAGTATCCTTGACAGTATTTGGACTCATTTCTTATTGAGGATGTTTGCTACTCCTGTTTTTTTACTTTTTATTAGATATTCGTAATCCTCTAGTTTTATCCATGTAGTGCCATAAAAATTTTGCCCACTTACTCTACTTTTCTTTTCATAATCTTATTACATATTGTTTTAAAAGCTATTTTTGAAAATCTTATAAAATCTTTGCTAAATTTTCATAGTTTTTGGAAGAAAAAAGGTGCCAATTTGAAATGTATGAAAAAATCTTAGAGAATATAATTTCCCGTCAAATTTTTAATTGTTTATATCTCAAAAACAAGGACGCAGATCTTTCATTTTTTTCTGCTTTTTAAGTTCAGTTATTTATATACTATTAACTAACAGTCCTTTAGAAAGCTTGTTATTTTGAAACAAAGGAGTGAACATCCTTAATTCACCAATGAACATATAAACCTTTTCCTATTATGGATTTCTGGCATTTTAAGATACTACCAAAGGTATATAGCTTCATTTTTGGCATTTTATGATACTACCATAGGTGTATAGCTTCATGTCTGACATGTTAAAATTCTACCATAGGTGTATAGCTTCATTTCTGGCATTTTAAGATCCTACCATAGGTGTATAGCTTCATTTCTGACATTTTAAGATCCTAAAAGCTTCCAAAATGGTAATATTTTCTAGACAAGTCCTGATCCATCCAACACCCTGCTTGTGTACAGCTAAAGTTCTAACATCCTGCTTGTGTACAGCTAAAGTTCTAACATCCTGCTTGTGTACCGCTAAAGTTCTAACATCCTGCTTGTGTACAGCTAAAGATCTAACATCCTGCTTGTGTACAGCTATTTTTAAAAGTTCTAGTACCCTGCTTGTGTACACCTTAAGTTCTATCCTCCTGCTTGTGCAGCGCTAAAGTTCTATCATCCTGTTTGTGTACAGCTAAAGTTCTAACATCCTGCTTGTGAAGATCTAAAGTTCTAACATCCTGCTTGTGTACAGCTAAAGTTCTAACATCCTGCTAGTGTTCAGCTAAAGTTCTAACATCCTGCTTGTGTACAGCTAAAGTTCTAACATCCTGCTTGTGTACAGCTAAAGATCTAATATCCTGCTTGTGTACAGCTAAAGTTCTAACATCCTGCTTGTGTACAGCTTAAGTTCTAACATCCTTCTTGTGCACAGCTAAAGATGACAATAAAATTCTAACATCCTGCTTGTGTACAGCTAAAGTTCTAACATCCTGTTTGTGTACAGCTAAAGTTCTAACATCCTGCTTGCGTACAGCTAAAGATCTAACATCCTGCTTGTGTACAGCCATTTTAAAAAGTTCTAACATCCTGATTGTGTACAGCTAAAGTTCTAACATCCTGCTTGTGCACAGCTAAAGATCTAACTTCCTGCTTGTGCACAGCTTAAGTTCGAACATCCTGCTTGTGTACAGCTAAAGTTCTAACATCCTGCTTGTGTACAGCTAAAGTTCTAACATCCTGCTTGTGTACAGCTAAAGATGTGGCATCCTGCTTGTGTACAGCTAAAGTTCTAACATCCTGCTTGTGTACAGCTAAAGATGTGGCATCCTTCTTGTGTACAGCTAAAGTTCTAACATCCTGCTTGTGTACTGCTAAAGTTCTAACATCCTGCTTGTGTACAGCTAAAGTTCTAACATCCTGCTTGTGTAAATCTAAAGTTCTTACATCCTGCTTGTGTACAGCTAAAGTTCTAACATCCTGCTTGTGAACAGCTAAAGTTCTAACATCCTTCTTGTGTACAGCTAAAGAGGACAACCAATGTGGGTTTGATCGCTCTGTTCAGACTTATCTGGTCATAAAAGTGAAGTGGAGTAATTTCTCTAAAAGCAAGCCCTAATTAAATACCCCCTCATTAATACAACAAAGGTTAATTAGTCTTCCCACAGCTGAGATTTACCTGTCCATCCCTCAGGTAAACTTTTTTGTAGTGGATATCATTCATGTTTGGTTTAAACTTATTTATTCGTACATCTTTACAAATATATCATCAAACAAAAATACACTAATAATAGGATTGGGAAACCAACTGTACATGGCTTGTATTAATCATTCATGTTTAACTGATATGTATTTAAATAATTTTAGCAAAAATGATTTTATTTATGATAGATATATTATAAATGATTAAATGATTCAAACATTAAAAGGTTATTGAGCGAAAATAGGTTGTGAACACAACTGCGCATGTGTATAGGTGTGAAATTTAATAATGCACCCAAAGGCTTTCAAAAACGTATAAAATATTTTTCATACCATTTATCTTATGTTCATCTCTTACTTGAAGAAATAACATGGAAAGAACTATTTAAAAAGCTCAATGATGCTTTAAAAAAAGAACTTGGATTTCACATATTATGTCTGTGTTCTGAATTTTATCACTATAACATGTATAAGGTCAACATCTGGTATTAGGGAATATGTGCTTTTTAAAAACTAAAGTGAAGTTTCTCATCAGCGTGGTATAGCATTAATAAATGTAAAGCATGAATGTAAGTCTGCTGATTGTAACTTCAAGCGTTGCACGATCAAATTAAAAGAACTATAAATATCAAGTAATTGTTGTCATATTAGTTGCTTTACAATTATTACCTTGATACTTTTTTATTACAAAGTTAAAAAAAGATAAAAATCAGGATTGAAAATGATTCCATCTGGCTGGAAATTGTTTTAGGAAGACCTACATAAGTTTTCAGTACACTCTTTTTTATTCATATAATGAAATTTGTTAGTTTGGAATGCTTTTAATGTATTTGACAGATGTGTAGCATACTTTTAATGTATTTGATAGAAGTGTAGCATACTTTTGACTATACAAAGTTACATGAAATGATTTATACTATGTTGATCAAAGATAATGTATCCTGATTTGTAAGTTTTCACTGCCCTTCTTAACATGTAGTCATGGAGAATAATGTATATACTATTACAGGTTCCTCAACCACTACAACGCCATCATCATCATCCACTACAACCACAGATCCACTGGTAGACAGATGTGATTCTAGAGCTGAAATTCTAAAGGAGGACATGGAATTAGCCTCAGCCTTCATACAAACTCTCTTCTCTGTCTTGTATGAAGTCTATAGTTCATCTGTAAGTTCTTAATTACTTTTTACTTTCTAAAAGTTTGAATTGATCCATAGCAGCTATTTTGCTAAATTGATATTGGCTTATGATATGAATGGCAACTCTCTTGATATCAGTTGAAAATTATTTGTTAGTTTTCAGGTATTTATTGTTGTTTTTTTTTAAGTGTTTTAAATTCCTGACATTACTTCCTTCAGGCTGGTCCTACAGTACGACACAAGTGCCTACAGACATTATTACGAATGATATTCTATGCTGGAGCAGACCTGTTGAGAAGTATTTTACAAACACAGCCTGTCTCCAGCCACATTGCTGCCATGATGGCATCTAATGACTTAAAAGTTGTTGTAGCTGCTGTTCAGATGGCAGAAATACTGATGCAAAAATTACCAGATGTTTTCTCCATATATTTTAGAAGAGAAGGTTGGTTATGCCATACTTCTAAATGTTTTTTTCTTTTTCAAATCTTTTTTGATAAAATTCTCTCAAGTATTATAAAGCTGATAAATCATCCTCCATTGTGCAATAGGATATTTTTACAAATAGAGGGGGGACATTTTTTTAAATTTATTTAAATATGCAGTCTTTAAAAGAAGAAGCTGTCTTCTGTTAATAAATACTAGTGATTAGACAACACTTATATGAATAGTAAGGACCAAGTAATTGAAACTTGTAAGATTAATAAATATTTAATGAAGCATTTACATTTGTTTTTAGGTGTTATGCATCAGATAAAGAAGTTAACAGAAATAGATCCCCAGGCCCCATCCCCTGTCAAGGCTTCGCCTTCACCATCCACATCCATCCCCCCACCAACATCTGTGTCTAGTTCGTCAGCAAGTATCACAAGCAGTAGCACATCATCAGAAAGTATTGATAAAAAATTAGATGGAGCATCAAACGTTGCTGCATCATCTTCTACGTCAGAGGAACACAGTTCTTCTCAAATGTAAGTAAAATTATAAAATTAAATCAAATGTTATGTTAGCATCTTCTAGGTCAAAGTAAATGTATATAAACCAATAAAGATAAGACCACTAAATATTGCATATACATCAAAGGAATAAAGTATAAGGATAAAGAATAGAGCTGCAAATGTTGCATTAACATATTCTATGTAGAGAAACTAAATTTTTCTCCAATGCTAGCAAAGAAGCAAAAGTGAGAGTTTATGGAACTTCTGAATTGTATAATAGATGTACACATCTACTTAAGACGACCAAAGCTATAATGATTTTCTTGGTTTATTCAGTAAAGCTGCCCATTGATTTTCAGAATTGGTTTTACTATTGATTTTTCTGTGAAAAAATTACTGGTATGGCCATTTCCAACAAATATGTCATAGTTAATATCTGTTATAATTATAATTATCATTAAATTCAAATGTTTTCACTTCCAGGAGACTAAGTGATGTATTAAAAAGGAAGAAACCACCAAAAAGGTCACTGGGTCGTAAATGTAAAAATACAGATGAATCTCCTACAGATACCCCAACTAAAGGATCTCCTGCAGTGGGAAACAGAAGTTCTAATAGGGCAAAATCTGCAGGTAAAAATAAATATACCCAACCAAAACGGTCTCCAGTAGTGGAAAACCATTAGGTTAAACATGGCATAGTCTGCAGGTAAAAATAAATGTACCACACTAAAAAGATCTGCAGCATTGGAAAACTATAATGTTTATATAATAGGGCAGAAAATGTAGATATCCTGTACCAAGATTTCTCCTGTCATAGGAAGCTGAAGTTCTGATAGATCAAAATCAGCTGGTAAAAATGTAGATACTGCACCTAAATAGTTTCCAGCAGTGGGAAACAGAAATAAAGATCCACAATTTAAAACTGTCATGCACGGAAAATAAAGAGCTCCCTTGTTATTTCTAATAGGGAGTTTTCTACACATGAAATATAGGTTAGTCTGCATAAAAGATATTATATTTAAAGGGAAAATTCGCGATTTTTTACTTTTCATCTTATTATGTTCATAATACCATAAAAAACATATTTACCAAGTTTTATCTGGATATGAACACTAATAAAGAAGAAAATTGGGAATTAATAATTTAATTTGTTCCAACTTCCTGACTTATGTGACGTAGTTTAAGTCTTTTTGCATGCCGGGAGTGAATAAATCTCATTATAAGTCTTGTTCGTTAATCATCTAATAACGCGATTTTAAGCGCATCGACGACTTTTGGCGTAGCTATTAACCAACTAATAATTAAGAAAGTAAAGTGATCAGCCGTGCAACTTTCAAAATTAAAATTTACGATAAAAGGATTTCTGATATGATTATAGTAATAAAAGTAAATCATACAATAGAATATATTTTTATGAATTTTTTTTCCGAGGGACATTTTGAACAAACATATATAACTGATATTGTTTTACAAATGCATGTTTGTATTCTCACCTGACGGCTTTTACTTCAGTCTAGCAAACATTTCCCACTAGTACTGTGAAAATACAATGTGTATTGTACTGTGACACTTAGTGACTACCTGTTGAATGCGTGGTTAAATTCAAGGTAATAAAAAGATTAGCATTCTGTAATTCAATTCTTTTGATCTTCACTCAGTGAATTTTAGCCAACACGGTTCACCGTTACAGGTGTGAACAACATTTCGTATGAATGATAAAAACATTAATTATTTGGGGAGGAATATGGTGGCAAAATACCTGAATCGCCGTTATACACATGTATATCTTTTATATTTTGCGTAAGCTTAATTTTAAAATAGATAGGTGAGTATTTGTTGTAACATCGAAATTCTGAATTACTTTCAATTAAATAATTTTATAAATAAAAATGGCCCACGAAAATGAGCGTATAAACCATACACTGTACTTACTTTTTCAAATTATCATGGGTATTAACCTTGAATATTTCAATGTTTAGAGAAAATTATCGCGGTTACATGATTAATATAGCTTGGTCCGTCCACAGCAATCTACATTTACCTAATCGGGAATGCCCTTATAAAATATTTAAAATCTCACAACGTATACATACTTTAGCTATTTGACCAACGATGTTTAAAAAAATAACAGAATCAATCTAACGTCAACTTTCCTTTTTTGAAGTTTTGAGACAGATCGGCGGAATCAATTTTCAATGTGCTTTATATCTTGTATCTTTGCAAGACTTATCATTTATTAATAAACCCACTATATACCAGAGACATATATGTCAGTCTTAACTGACAAGAAGAATGTAGGACAGAAAGTCACAGGACAAAAAAGTCACAATTCAGTTTTAAATTTATTTTTCTTTGAACAAGAAAACACTAATTTTAAAAATATTTTTTTTTTTTTTTCTTGAACTATTATATATAAAGCAACTTTGTTATTAACATTTATTCAATAAATATCAATAATAATCAAATAATTGTTATGGAAACAAAATGTCAAAGTGAATTAGTACTTAAATGGCTTCATGGTGCCAAGAAATTATACTTTGAATGACTAAATTTAAAAAATTTTCATTTATCAAGGCTTATGAACAATTTCCTAAACTTAAAAATGGATATATGTAATAAAAAGAAAATATTTCAAGATCTTTCTCTTATGTATTCAAACAACTGTCAACAAATTATTTGTGACTTTTTGTCCTGTGACTTTTTGTCCTATCAAATTTGTGACTTGTGACTTTTTGTCCTATCAAATTTGTGACTTTATATCCTGTGACTTTCTGTACGTTTACCGACAAGAATACACCTAAAGCGGACAAGCAGTATATTCTTTAAGTTTCTGTGATTTAATACAAAGAAAGAAAAAAATCCCGAAATTAATTTGATACTTTGATACTCAATATTTTTACTGGAAAATATTCACATCCTCGTTTGGTCTGAAAATAAGATAAGAATTTGGTATACAGAACATGCAGGAGTGTGAATGTCATAAAACCTTGTTTTATCAGAAACCATTATAAATGTGAACCTGTATACGTAAGACCTCATGGGACGTCACCTAACCACATACATGTAATATACAAGTAGCTCTGTTATACCCGGAAATGTCAAGGTAAATCACTACCGATACAGAATGTACCAATGGAAAGAAAATTCTGATGATTGTGAAGCATGACCATTCATGATTTTAGAGGAGTCTTAGGTGGAAATTGTCGGTACTATTTAAATTCTGACAGATTTTTTTCTCTCAATTTAAATCACTGAACTTAAAAAAAAAAAGAAACCTACGCCCAAGATCAGAATTCTTCATGTAAATTCATCAATACAACGTTCTTATTTTGTAACTTTCGATATACTTCACCTCCAACCACCGCCCCCTCCCAACCTGGGAACAGTATATCTAACATTACAATGTTTGTGTACCTGCCCAAATAAAAAAAAAGAAGAAAAAAGAAAGAGATGAATGGTAAGTCACATCAGATTCAAATATTTATATGGTTGATTGTCGTTAACTAGAGATGTATAGTTACATGTCTCTGCGTTAACTTATAAGAATGACAGGAAAGTATATACTTGAAATAGATTTATGATGAATAATATGCAACTGCAGCACACCTTTTTATCAAAGTGTACATGCATGTATTTTAATGACTGTCCGTTATTTCGATTAAGAATGACAATTGTACGTGAAATTCTATAGTTGCCAGTGAGACTTTTTTTTTTTACCAGATATGCGACTTTTCGTATTTATATTTTCTCTTATATTACTCTCATTTAATATTTTATGCATAAGTGCAATATTAGGAATGGTTTATCCCCCCTCCCTTTTAAGCTAACTAAATAAATTAATCAACCCTCTAGCTGACCAGACGTTAATACATCTACTATCAGTCTATTCGGAGTGAAGTTTCTTTATTTCTTCAAATAAGCTTTTTGGGGATCATTAGTGTACGTCCAGTGGCATATATATTACATGCAAGTCGGAACAGGAAAATTGACATGAGGTACTACCGGTATAATAGAACCATGTTCACATTATTACATTATTATACATAATACAAAACCATTGAGATGATGACGACTTTCTTAAACTGTCCAAATAATCTAATTGAAATAAAAATCTGTGATTTTACTATGTGCATAACTTCGATGAACCAAAGCAAGTTAGATATCAACCTGTATTTAAATCAGATTGGTTTTGGATGTTTCTCTCGTATATTCAATATACATGTATATATTCTAAATTGCGACTATCTATAGTTCCGTAACCTTCTATCTAGGCGTATAATCCAATGATCGACAAGTGCGAACATTTTGTTAAATCAATATTTGTACGTTTCAAAATGTCCATAACTATTGACAACGAGTAATTACTTACATTTTCCCCAATTTACGTTTGGAAAATATGTAAATATATTTTTATTTTTATCAAATTTTTTTTTGGAATTATTTAGATTTTCATAAATATTCTTTACACCATAAATGTTATTTATAAACAAGCGTATGAGTTTAGTCATATATATAATTGCTATTATATCTATGGTTTAGTAAATACTAGCATATCACTATCGGCACGCAAGACAAAGATGTATATTCACCTGATAGTTTCAAAATGGAAAGTTACAAGTTATCGGCTGTGTACACTTCTCAATACCCTCAGAGGTGAAGTGATGCACGAACTTGCTCTATGTTATTGTGTAATAAGAGTTTTAAAGCCCAACAGGAGATCGCTTGAATACCTGGAAGTGTCAACTCACAATACCTCTGGGAACAATTCCTTTAGCCATACTGGTGATCAGATAAGGGAAGGTCCGAATTTATTCAAATAAGATTATTACATAAATGAATTATGAACACACTAGATTTTCGAAAACATTTTTACACGTAACACTTAATTTATCACTTTGAACTTTTTAACTAATTTCCATTAAAATTTCTTGTTTCAAAAACTTAGTAAAAAAACAGTTTTAAAACGACAGACCATAGTAGTTATTAAAAAAAAAATTATATATAATTACTTACATTTTCTGCCTATCAAGTTAGTTAGGAAAGGTTGCATGCACAACCATGTCTATTATAATCTTTTTTTGTGACCCGGGAAACTGTTTAGGCTTTCCTTATCGGGTAAAACAACCGTACGCTTGACAAGATATCGACACTCAATTACGGCTGCGTTAGGTTACTGCTTGTTTTGGTCCTTTGTGGTTTATAGATATATCGTGGTTTCTTTCAGGGATGATGTCAAAATGGCCGCACGCGGAGAAGTGATACTCTAATTTTAAAATCGATGGTGATCTCTTATCTAGCAGAATTAAACTTTAATATTTATGAATTTGTGGTTTTTTATACATAATCAACATAATATCAATTTTTCATTTTTTTGCGAAGTATCCCTTTAAAGACTTTCCTGTATGTGAAATAAAAAGTTTCAATGCATGCTAAAAGGTGTGCTGCTGGAAAAATAAGACATTAAAAAATTTCGAAGATTTTTTTGGCAAATTACACCAGGATGTGTATTCCTTTTATATTCACATGTCAGAATTGTAGAAACAGAAAAAAACTGTTTGACAGGATATACAACACATATAGAACAAACTCATTGAAAGAAAAAATATGTAGTGCTTAGTAGACAGTGCTTTGCATTTTCAAAATAATGTAAAACTTATGAATGTTGGAGGAAAAGCTAAAGCTTTAAATTTAGGTCATTATGTAAACACTACATTTAATTGAATTAAAAGATATTTTGATAAGAATTTCTATATTTACATTATATTGCAGGGAAGGAAGGGAAATCAAGTTCAAAGATGTCTTTCTTACCAAGTAGTTTAAATCCACGAACATGGGGAAAGTTTTCTTCTTCATCAGATCAGCAACCCAAATCTGGCTTGTCAAAGGTTGGTCAACCGAGACTTTTGACCAGTCTCACCAGAAGTGTAAGTCATATCTTATTTACAAGTGGAACTAATGGTGTCCAAAGGTTTTACTTACTACAAAAAATATGCAATAAAACCATGTCCTAGGAACCATTGGTATAAAATAGGAAAGAAATGCTAAGGGGTCATTCTGTCCGTCACCAGGAATGCAATTTTCAATTTGCCTAACAACAACAAACTGCTGCTTGTGATTATTCTGTTGCTAACATTTGCCTTAAAACTATTGCAAGTATGATAAATAAAAAAAATAATTTTGCCCTTATTTAATGCATATGTCTAATTTTGTAATCTGAAACATGCAGGATTTGATTTTAAATTTAAAAAAGCCATTATTATATTGCAAGATGTATGAATAGGACAATTTGCATTTCTCTTTGGCATCAATTCAATGTTCAGCATTGGAAAAATGATGTTTTACTGACAGGATGAAAATAATATATTATCATACACTTTAAAGTAACATTAACTGACAGGATGAAAAATAATATATTATCATACACTTTAAAGTAACATTAACTGACAGGATGAAAAATAATATATTATCATACACTTTAAAGTAACATTAACTGACAGGATGACAAATAATATATTATCATACACTTTAAAGTAACATTAACTGACAGGATGAAAAATAATATAATATCATACACTTTAAAGTAACATTAACTTTCGTTTGAATGAATACTTGATATTGTTTTATTTCAGGATGCATTTAGTCCTAAACCTGTGCTGATAACCAGCCCATGCAACAAAGAGAAAGTTAAATCTTGGGTTAAAGAGCAAGGTAGGAGTTTTTACTCAGTGCTGAATTCAGCTTATTTTATACTGCAAAAGGTAGTCCTTTATTTCTTCTGCTGTTATGATTAATATCTGCTTTCAATATAAATAATAGATATGGAGTAAACAATGATGAGACACAAAAGACATTAAGAGGGGGTAAACATCAACGTAACACAAAATACATCAAGATGGGGTAAACATCAATGAGACACAAGACATCAAGATGGGGTAAACATCAATGAGACACAAGACATTAAGATGGGGTAAACATCAATGAGACACAAAATACGTCAAGATGGGGTAAACATCAATGAGACACAAGACATCAAGATGGGGTAAACATCAATGAGACACAAAATACATCAAGATGGGGTAAACATCAATGAGACACAAGACATCAAGATGGGGTAAACGTCAATACGACACAAGACATCAAGATGAGGTGAACATCAATGAGACACAAGACACCAAGATGGGGTAAACATCAACATGACACAAAATACATCAAGATGGGGTAAACATCAATGAGAAATAAGACATCAAGATGGGGTAAACATCAATGAGACACAAGACATCAAGATGGGGTAAACATCAATGAGACACAAGACATCAAGATGGGGTAAACATCAACGAGACACAAAATACATCAAGATGGGGTAAACATCAATGAGAAATAAGACATCAAGATGGGGTAAACATCAATGAGACACAAGACATCAAGATGGGGTAAACATCAACGAGACACAAAATACATCAAGATGGGGTAAACATCAACGAGACTCAAAATACATCAAGATGGGGTAAACATCAACGAGACACAAAATACATCAAGATGGGGTAAACATCAACGAGACACAAAATACATCAAGATGGGGTAAACATCAATGAGACACAAGACATTAAGAAGGGGTAAACATCAATGAGACGCAAGACATCAAGATGGGGTAAACATCAATGAGACACAAGACATCAAGATAGGGTAAACATCAATGAGAAATAAGACATCAAGATGGGGTAAACATCATTGAGACACAAGACATCAAGATGGGGTAAACATCAACATGACACAAAATACATCAAGATGGGGTAAACATCAATGAAACACAAAAGACATTAAGAGGGGGTAAACATCAACGAGACACAAAATACATCAAGATGGGGTAAACATCAACGAGACACAAAAGACATCAAGATGGGGTAAACATCAATGAGACACAAGACATCAAGATGGGGTAAACATCAATGAGACACAAGACATCAAGATGGGGTAAACATCAACATGACACAAAATACATCAATGAAACACAAAAGACATTGAGAGGGGGTAAACATCAACGAGACACAAAATACATCAAGATGGGGTAAACATCAACGAGACACAAAAGACATCAAGATGGGGTAAACATCAATGAGACACAAAAGACATCAAGATGGGGTAAACATCAACAAGACACAAAAGATATCAAGATGGGGTAAACATCAACGAGATACAAAAGACATCAAGAGGGGGTAAACATCAATGAGATACAAAAGACATCAAGAGGGGGTAAACATCAATGAGACACAAAAGACATCAAGAGGGCAACAGTCTTAAACACAATATGTCAAGCTCTAATTTGTCCTGAGTATATACAAGTTATGCATCACACATATAGAGAATAATATATCCAAGTTTATAGTACAGTACAGATACTATTTATGATTCATTATTGTTGATATTTATTGATTCATTATTGATGATATTTATGATTCATTATTGATGATATTTATGATTCATTACTGATGATATTTATTGATTCATTATTGATGATATTTATTGATTCATTATTGATGATATTTATTGATTCATTATTGATGATATTTATGATTCATTATTGAGGATATTTATTGATTCATTATTGATGATATTTATGATTCATTACTGATGATATTTATTGATTCATTATTGATGATATTTATTAATTCATTATTGATGATAATTATGATGCATTAATGATGATATTTATTGATTCATTATTGATGATATTCATGATTCATTATTGATGATATTTATTAATTCAGTATTGATGATATTTATCGATTCATTATTGATGATATTTATGATTCATTATTGATGATATTTATTGATTCATTATTGATGATATTTATGATTCATTATTGATGATATTTATGATTCATTATTGATGATATTTATGATTCATTACTGATGATATTTATTGATTCATTATTGATGATATTTATGATTCATTATTGATGATATTTATTGATTCATTATTGATGATATTTATGATTCATTACTGATGATATTTATCGATTCATTATTGATGATATTTATTAATTCATTATTGATGATATTTATGATTCATTACTGATGATATTTATTGATTCATTATTGATGATATTCATGATTCATTATTGATGATATTTATTAATTCAGTATTGATGATATTTATCGATTCATTATTGATGATATTTATGATTCATTATTGATGATATTTATCGATTCATTATTGATGATATTTATGATTCATTATTGATGATATTTATTGATTCATTATTGATGATATTCATGATTCATTATTGATGATATTCATGATTCATTATTGATGATATTTATGATTCATTATTGATGATATTTATGATTCATTATTGATGATATTTATTAATTCATTATTGATGATATTTATGGATTCATTATTGATGATATTTATTGATTCATTATTGATGATATTTATTGATTCATTATTGATGATATTTATTGATTCATTATTGATGATATTTATCGATTCATTATGGATAATATTTATTCATTCATTATTGATGACATTTTTGAATTCATTACTGACGATATTTGTGGATTCTTTAATGTTCATAGGATATTCTGTATTGTAGATTTCATGGATCAATAATTGAATTAGATATTTCTTTTGCTTTAATATTAGTACAAAATAAGATGACGTTTTCTCAAATTGATTCCCATGAAGCTAAATGAAGCATCACTATTCTGGTAAACCTTGACTTTGTGTCTTCCTAGCAAGTATAACTTTTCTTGTTTTGATCGCATATGAATTTCAATTTTGCTGTAAACTAGATAGAATTTGTTTTTATTTCAGCATCTCGATTTATAGAACAGTATTTTGGTACCGAGACCCAAGGATCAAGTCATCCTGCTCTCAATATACTCAACAGACTATGTACTGCCACTGAACTTTTAACAGTAGAGGTACATCTTAATCCTATTGTAAATCTCTCAATATACTCAACAGATTATGTACTGCCACTGATCATTTAACAGTAGAGGTACATCTTAATCCTATTGTAAATCTCTCATATACTCAACAGACTATGTACTGCCACTGATCACTTAACAGTAGAGGTCCATCTTAATCCTATTGTAAATCTCTCAATATACTCAACAGACTATGTACTGCCACTGATCACTTAACAGTAGAGGTACATCTTAATCCTATTGTAAATCTCTCAATATACTCAACAGACTATGTACTGCCACTGATCATTTAACAGTAGAGGTCCATCTTAATCCTATTGTAAATCTCTCAATATACTCAACAGACTATGTACTGCCACTGATCATTTAACAGTAGAGGTCCATTTTAATCCTATTTTAGATTAATAAAGGGACAACTCTTAATGACACTAAATTTTCAAGCATGTATATTATAAAATAAAATGTAAAAAAAGAACAACAATAAAAGTATTGATTTGTCCTAGTTATCTCCCTTGATTATAATACATTTCATACAGAAATTGTTTTATTGATTGTTGGTTGATTATTTACTTCTAAAACAAACTATGTTAGGATTACAGAGCTTGAATAGCCAAAACCCTTTTATAAATGTTAAAAAAACACACATTTTTATGCCCCCGCCGTCAACGGAGGAGGCATTAAGTCTTACCCTTGTCCATCTGTCCGTATGTCCCGAAATTAGTTTCAGTTAACTTTAGCTTGCCCCAACTAAATTTTATGAAACATTTACACAATGCTTATTACCACAAAATACAGATCAAGTTCGAATTTGGGTGGTGTCACTTCTACCCTTCTGGAGTTATGCACCTTTATATATATGGAAAAATTGCTGAATTTTTCATTTCCTTTAACTTTAGTTTGCCTCAACCAAATCTTATGAAACTTATACTTAATGCTTATTACCACAAAACTCTGATAAATTTCGAATTTGGGGGTGGGGTGTCACTTTTACAGTTCTTGAGTTATCCCTCTTTATAACGTATATGTTAGCAGGGGCATCATCTGTGTCTCATGGACACATTCTCCATTTATTTATTTTTCAAAGTGAATTGTTACACAATTAAAGATCAATAGAATAGAGAATGGAAATGGGGAATGTGTCAAAGAGAGAACAATCCAATCAAAAAGAGCAGCCCAAGGTCACCAATGGGTCTTCAATGCAGTGAGAAAATCCTGCACCCAGAGATGGGGTTTAGCTGGCTCCTAAACAATAATGTATACTAGTTCAGCGAAATGGATGCCACACTAAACTCTGAAACATACAGTTGAATGTTTACTTGTTACTGGACAACCAATGTAATTGTCTGTTTGTACACCAGTTACTGATTGAGTTATTAATCAGTACTGCCCAGACCACTTTTTCATTAGCAAATCAGAATCCTTATAAATGAATAAAGACAAAAATTAAGTGCTTACTGCATCTCAAACTTCATATTTAGTATGATTTTCACACATACTTCATCAAACTGTTTTACATCTTTATATGATGTCATAGATGAATTGATTCTCCTGAGTATGGGTGAAATATTTGCCACTGGATGTTCATACTTCATCAAACTGTTTTACATCTTTATATGATGTCATAGATGAATTGATTCTCCTGAGTATGGGTGAAATATTTGCCACTGGATGTTCATACTTCATCAAACTGTTTTACATCTTTATATGATGTCATAGATGAATTGATTCTCCTGAGTATGGGTGAAATATTTGCCACTGGATGTTCATTCTTCATCAAACTGTTTTACATCTTTATATGATGTCATAGATGAATTGATTCTCCTGAGTATGGGTGAAATATGTGCCACTGGATGTTCATACTTCATCAAACTGTTTTACATCTTTATATGATGTCATAGATGAATTGATTCTCCTGAGAATGGGTGAAATATGTGCCACTGGATGTTCAGCAAACAATCAATTATATATAAATTACATAACATTATAAAAAAATTAGGAAAGGTCCAGTTTGAGAAGATTTTATCAATAGAAAATAATTTTCTTTTTCATGGGCTATGCATAGGAAGTATACATTTTATTTCTGCTTTAAGTTAGGATATATGTGGTTTAACATTTCATTTATATTAACTGTATTCTACACATCCAGGTTAGACTATATATATATATATACTACTATGAAACCTACATAACATTTGTATAATCTAGAATGATTTTTCTTCAGGATGATTGTGGAATAGATTGTCTGAAAGAGATAGCTAATATAATGAAGGACAGTGATGTGTCTCCATTTGAAATAATACATAGTGGACTAGTTCAGAAACTTTTACAGTATTTAACTTCCACGACAGGTGATGTACCACGAGATGTCCGAATCAGAAGATTTCTACATATATTCCTTAACTGCCCTGTAAGTATTGTATCATAACAGAGTTCAATATAAATATAGGACACTTTTAAATTTAACATTGGTGGTATAAAAACGTTTAGTAGACACTCCCAAAAACCCTTTACAATTCCCTGGATATTTAATAGGTTCAAGTGTAATAACTACAAAAGAAAATGAAAGAGTTGAGTGTTTAAATCAATCTGTTTAAATTTCTCGTTGTAATTGTAGGAATTTCTAGATGCAGAAAGCTATATTCACAAACAAACGTTGTTAGATTTAGAAAATCATCAATATTTACAAAAAATTATAGACATAATTACTTTATTTGTAAGTTACACAGCATTCTGACGCAGTATTTCTTTCTAGGTGTATGGCTTTTGCTTTTTATTAAATAAAGAAAGAAGAATGAAATCTTAATAAAATGTCACCACTAAAGGACCTTGTTTTTATCGTCTTTTGTTTTGTATGTAATACTGCATTGTAGTAAATGAATGTACTATTGTTTACAGCCTCCAGATGTATTACATTGTAAAGAGGTACACGTAGATTCTGAAAACCTACCATCAATGACTGCATTGGTTGCCAAATTGATTGGTTGTTTGCACCAGTTAGAACAGGTATTATAATCTTTCCTAGTTTATTTTCAGTTCATCAAATGCTTTGTTCCCTTAGTTAACCCATGGTAATTAAAGACTTGCCCTATAGATGTATAATTCAGTCACAATTGGAAGTTGTTGTAAGTAAATACATAAAACTTCCTAAAATGTCTTGTTTTACCCTCAAATCAAATAATCTGGTTCATCAGGTAAGTCAGTTCATTAACAAACTTACCAGACATATAACTTACTGGCCAGCATCATATATCTCTGCCATGGAATAGGTCAAATGTAGAAAATGATTATATATGTAAGTTAAATTCATTTCTCAATTGTAAATCAAGTATTATCTCGTTTCGATTACTGCACATATTGTATTACAAAGAAAAAGCTGGCTATTGACTCAAGTATTTTATTGAAACCAGTTGATTTTTTTTTGCAGTTCCAGGTCAAAGTTCATGATTTACCTGGTGGCAGTGCATCCAGTGGGAGAGGTTCTAATGCCTTGAGATTCTTCAATACACATCAATTAAAGGTAAAGTTAGAGATTCATCAATACACATCAATTAAAGGTAAAGTTAGAGATTCTTCAATAGACATCAATTAAAGGTAAAGTTAGAGATTCTTCAATAGACATCAATTAAAGGTAAAGTTAGAGATTCTTCAATAGACATCAATTAAAGGTAAAGTTAGAGATTCATCAATACACATCAATTAAAGGTAAAGTTAGAGATTCTTCAATAGACATCAATTAAAGGTAAAGTTAGAGATTCTTCAATAGACATCAATTAAAGGTAAAGTTAGAGATTCTTCAATAGACATCAATTAAAGGTAAAGTTAGAGATTCATCAATACACATCAATTAAAGGTAAAGTTAGAGATTCTTCAATAGACATCAATTAAAGGTAAAGTTAGAGATTTTTCAATAGACATCAATTAAAGGTAAAGTTAAAGATTCTTCAATACACATCAATTAAAGGTAAAGTTAGAGATTCTTCAATACACATCAATTAAAGGTAAAGTTAGAGACTCTTCAATAGACATCAATTAAAGGTAAAGTTAGAGATTCTTCAATACACATCAATTAAAGGTAAAGTTCTTCAATACACATCAATTAAAGGTAAAGTTAGAGATTCTTCAATAGACATCAATTAAAGGTAAAGTTAGAGATTCTTCTATACACATCAATTAAAGGTAAAGTTCTTCAGTACACATCAATTAAAGGTAAAGTTCTTCAATACACATCAATTAAAGGTAAAGTTCTTCAATACACATCAATTAAAGGTAAAGTTAGAGATTCATCAATACACATCAATTAAAGGTAAAGTTAGAGATTCATCAATACACATCAGTTAAAGGTAAAGTTAGAGATTCTTCAATACACATCAATTAAAGGTAAAGTTCTTCAATACACATCAATTAAAGGTAAAGTTCTTCAATACACATCAATTAAAGGTAAAGTTAGATCATAGAATGTTGTGAAGGCTCCTTTCTAGAAGTGATGTCTATTTTGTAATCACCTTGTCCACCAGTTCTTTTTCATCCTTTATTACATAGCTCTTTTTAAGATAAATATTTTATATATGGCTTGGTAAATTTTAATTTAGATACAAGAAAGATGTGAACAGTTTTATGTGTGATGATAAAAGTATGCAAAATGTGCTTTCCAATTCCTCGTTTCATTTACTTCTAAAATAGACATATACAAATAAAGCAGTTCATAGAGATATGAATATTATATGGGAAATACATAGAAATTCAGTAGCATTATCTCCATTTTAATACAGATGTAAGATTTCATGTTTGTATGATAATGCCACAAAGAACATTCAGGATACTAGAACAGGTTGATTCCAGAACTGATGCTGTGAAATTTTTGAATTTTTTTTAGATACAATGTTAAAAAGACAAAATATGTTTTAATGTCGAAATTTATTACAGTGCAATCTACAAAGACACCCTGAATGTACAACATTGCGACAGTGGAAGGGAGGACCTGTGAAGATTGATCCATTAGCCTTGGTACAGGCTATAGAGAGATACCTAGTAGTTAGGGGGTATGGTCGTCCTAAACCTGAGGGTGCCGATGATGATATAAGTGATGATGATAATTCTGATGAAGATGTTGATGATACTATGGTATGTGTATTTAGAAATAAAAACAAGTTCAAAGATCAAATAATTCACATGCTTTTACATGTGTGACTATGGTAAAATGTTTGATGTACAATTGATTTTGGGAAATGATTGTAATTAAATACATTTTTTTCTTGGAATATGGAGTAAAACAATTACTGTCTTTTGTTTTGGTTAAATTGACTTTAGGAAAAGTGATATTTACTTAGGCCTCAGTGAATGTCCGTTTTTCAAAATTCAATAAAACCACAAATTTACTTTTATCAAAAGACCGTAATCGCTTACTAACTACTTCTGGTTGCGTTCTGTGGGTATTATTATATTGCTGTACAACAATACCATGTATTGGGTGTGTACGCTAAGTACTTCTGTGTTCTGTGGGTATCATTATATTGCTGTACAGCAATACCATGTATTGGGTGTGTACGGTAAGTACTTCTGTGTTCTGTGGGTATTATTATATTGCTGTACAACAATACCATGTATTGGGTGTGTACGGTAAGTACTTCTGTGTTCTGTGGGTATTATTATGTAACTGTACAACAATTCCGTGTATTGGGTGTGCACGGTCAGTACTTCTGTGTTCTGTGGGTATTATTATGTTACTGTACAACAATTCCGTGTATTGGGTGTGCACGGTAAGTACTTCTGTGTTCTGTGGGTATTATTATGTTACTGTACAACAATTCCGTGTATTGGGTGTGCACGGTCAGTACTTCTGTGTTCTGTGGGTATTATTATGTTACTGTACAACAATTCCATGTATTGGGTGTTGAAATCACAGAAGAATAAAGGTAAATGTAAAGTCTCCTTGATCAAAATATTTTTAAGAGAGCAATTTTCTTTTTTTACAAAATGTTGTGTTCGTTAAATTGAAATTATCTGACAATTTGCAAGAAAATAATCTAACCAGTAAGTGATTTATGCTGTAAATATAAAAGGATGAAATATATGAACATTCATTAGCTAATAACCTATTGTATGAGTCAAAGGAGATGTATATGTCAATACTGAAGCATCAAGAGGTGTACATTGTAACACAAACTATTAATTAGCTAATAGCCTATTGTATGAGTCAAAGGAGATGTATATGTCAATACTGAAGCATCAAGAGATGTACATTGTAACACAAACTATTAATTAGCTAATAGCCTATTGTACAAGTCAAAGGAGATGTATATGTCAATACTGAAGCATCAAGAGGTGTACATTAATTAGCTAATAACCTATTGTACGAGTCAAAGGAGATGTATATGTCAATACTGAAGCATCAAGAGGTGTACATTGTATGTTGATATGATGCAGCATGTGATAAATATCTAAATTTGACAAATTTGTTGAAAGATTTATTGTGATAACTAAAATTACAATGTTACTGGTGATTACATGTTTATAACTGAAACAACTTTATTATTTGTAGTTTGTTCTCATCAGGTAATGTAAAGTCAAATTAATTTAAATGTATTTAATAATCATTTGAGAACTGATAGTTTGCATAAATAAAAGTATTTTTATAATTGTTAAATGTGTTTATTTTAAGGCTGCTGTATTTATCAGTCAAGGCACAGCCAGACATAAGTTAGAATTTTACATGGGAGAGCGTTTTCTACCTTACAACATGACAGTGTATCAAGCCATTAAAAACTACAGCAATCCTGGGGAGAAGGATGCAAGTGAAACTGATACAGATTCAGAAATTCCTCTTGGTCATGCTGGTATTTGGGTACAGACCCATACAATATGGTAAACATTACATTGAAGGATTTACACTTGTACTGTTTTTCTTAACCATCTTTACTTATGAAGCAAACCAAATACTTTGAATTAGAGTTTTTTGCTTATTTGCCAAGTATGCAGCATTCAGGAATAAGAGCAAAGATTGATCAGCTTGGAGTCGATAGAATAAAGTATTGGTCAACTGACCTGATATTTTAAAGTCACACCTATGACTTAGTTTACCTCCTGACAAGTCCTGAGATTTTGCAATTATCAGTTGGCCATTAAATATCCTGTGATTTCTGCAAATGCTCCATTTTTATGCCAAGTAGATGAAAGGGCATAATGTTTTCTGGTTTGTCTTTCCGTCCTTGTTTTCCGGTTTGTCTGTCCGTCCATCCCTTATCAGGTTAATGTTTTCTGGTTTGTCTGTCCATCCATCCTTTATCAGGTTAATGTTTTCTGGTTTGTCTGTCCGTCCATCCCTTATCAGGTTAACGTTTTCCGGTTTGTCTGTCCGTCCATCCCTTATCAGGTTAATGTTTTCTGGTTTGTCTGTCAGTCCATCCCTTATCAGGTTAATGTTTTCCAGTTTGTCTGTCAGTCCATCCCTTATCAGGTTAATGTTTTCTGGTTTGTCTGTCCGTCCATCCCTTATCAGGTTAATGTTTTCTGGTTTGTCTGTCCATCCATCCCTTATCAGGTTAATGTTTTCTGGTTTGTCTGTCCATCCATCCCTTATCAGGTTAATGTTTTCTGGTTTGTCTGTCCGTCCATCCCTTATCAGGTTAATGTTTTCCAGTTTGTCTGTCCGTCCATCCCTTATCAGGTTAATGTTTTCCAGTTTGTCTGTCCGTCCATCCCTTATCAGGTTAATGTTTTCCAGTTTGTCTGTCCGTCCATCCCTTATCAGGTTAATGTTTTCCAGTTTGTCTGTCCGTCCATCCCTTATCAGGTTAATGTTTTCCGGTTTGTCTGTCCGTCCATCCTTTATCAGGTTAATGTTTTCTGGTTTGTCTGTCCGTCCATCCCTTATCAGGATAACGTTTTCTGGTTTGTCTGTCCGTCCATCCCTTATCAGGTTAACGTTTTCTGGTTTGTCTGTCCGTCCATCCCTTATCAGGTTAACGTTTTCCGGTTTGTCTGTCAGTCCATCCCTTATCAGGTTAATGTTTTCCAGTTTGTCTGTCAGTCCATCCCTTATCAGGTTAATGTTTTCTGGTTTGTCTGTCCGTCCATCCCTTATCAGGTTAATGTTTTCTGGTTTGTCTGTCCATCCATCCCTTATCAGGTTAATGTTTTCTGGTTTGTCCATCCATCCCTTATCAGGTTAATGTTTTCTGGTTTGTCTGTCCGTCCATCCTTTATCAGGTTAATGTTTTCTGGTTTGTCTGTCCGTCCATCCCTTATCAGGTTAATGTTTTCTGGTTTGTCTGTCCGTCCATCCCTTATCAGGTTAATGTTTTCCAGTTTGTCTGTCCGTCCATCCCTTATCAGGTTAATGTTTTCCAGTTTGTCTGTCAGTCCATCCCTTATCAGGTTAATGTTTTCTAGTTTGTCTGTCCGTCCATCCCTTATCAGGTTAATGTTTTCTAGTTTGTCTGTCCGTCCATCCCTTATCAGGTTAATGTTTTGGTTATAGGTAGTTTGTTGTTACATCGAGAAGAAATTTAGTACACTTGTACACATGTACACATGTTCATTATTCCGAAAGCAATTTGGTATGTATGTCAAATACGGTTTGACCTATATTTCGTGGTTAACAGAACATGGAAATGTGAAAGTGGGACTTGGGTGCATTTTGTCCTATGGACACATACTGTTAACCAACTCTTTTTCACAGATACTTTTATTCCCGTATACTTTTCTTGCCGACTAAGCAACAGTTTATTTTTTGTGATTTCCTGACTTTCTTAATATAATATAGTCTTATAAGAGAAGACATTTGTTTGTAATATTCACGACTTTTCATATTCATGCTATTTTTCTACTTGCAAAAATAAATCATTAGTGGGTTTACAGTACTTATTCTTGTTTTATTGTATTTTAGTTCCTTGTTGCTTTATGTCTATTAAGTAAATTTTTGGTTGAAATATTTACATTCTTCATTGACAGGAAGTTCAATACTTTGACTATAACTGACCCTTTAACATGAAGAAAAACAATAATTTGACACCTTGTATGCAGATACCTTATGTTTCATAGTTTCCATCTGTCATATGCCCATTTTCATGGTTCAGCGACTGCCTGGAAAAAAAATTACAGTTTTTTGGTCATGTGAATTTCTCACTTATTATGAGTGATAAGATAACTGTATTTGGTATATGGGTTCCTTGCAACATCTACATGTCAAACAGACATGGTTCACCTGACCTCAACCTCATTTTACGGATCAATGATCAAGGTTAAAATTACATGATTAGGTCATTTTCTCAGATATACTATAAGCTGTAGATCAACTATATGTGTTGTATGGAATGACTGTCAGGGGTACATGTCAGTCTGGCAGATTTCATCTGACCTTGACCTCATTTTCATAGTTCATTAGTCAATGTTAAGTTTTTGTGTTTTGATCTGTTTTTCAAGTACTATAAGCAAAAGGTCAACTATATTTGGTGTATGGAATAATTGTAAAGTTTACATGTCTGTCTAGTCAATGTCATCTGACTTTGACCCCATTTTCATAGTTCATTGGTCAATGTTAAGTTTCTGTGTTTTGTTCTGTTTTTCATTTATTAATAGCAATAGGTCAACTATATTCAGTGTATTGAATGATTGTAAGGTGTACATGTCTGTGTAGCCGGTGTCATCTGACCTTCATCTCATTTTCATTGTTCATTGGTCATTAAGTTTTTGTGTTTTGGTCTGTTTTCAATTACCATAAGCAATAGGTCAACTCTTTTTGGTGTATGGAATAATTGTACGGTGTACATGTCCGTGTGACAGTTTTTGTCTGACCTTGGCCTCATTGTCATGGATCTTTAAAAATGTTAATTTTATGTGATACTTGTAGTAAAACCTTTATCTTCAAGACTTTCAACATAAAATCAATGATCAGTATAACAAGCAAGACATTCCAGCGTGTGCACTCTTGTTATATTTACTGCAGGGTTTGTTACTCGTGCTGTGTGGATGCAGAAGAATGTGTCCCCCTGTCTGTAGTGCATGCCCTTATAGTTTACAGTTTTACAGGTATTTTGCTTGTGAGAGAGCTGTCTACATATTCCATTATATTAATGGTCTCGGGTGGAGTGTTGTCTCATTGGCAGTTATACCACATCTTAGTTTTTATGCTCCCGCAACTGAAAGTTGGGGGGTATTTTGTTTTACCCCTATCCGTCCGTCTGCCCTTGTCCTTCCGACCGTCCTTCTGTCCGTCCCGTTATGGGTATATAGCTATTCCAGATAACTCCTCCTACAGTTTGAATGATAGGAAGTTTTCACTTTGTTGGCTGTTTGTACATATATTGAAGGTGTGCATGTGGTCAGGGTTTTGATTTTTATTGATATTTGCTCTTTTGGGAGATAGTTGAACTGTCATTTTTTGGAGTATTTACTTGCATAAGAGGTGCATAGAGTTTCCGGATAACTCCTCCTACAGTTTGAATGCTAGAAAGTTTTCACTTTGCTGGCTGTTTGAACATATATTGAAGGTGTGCATGTGGTCAGGGTTTTGATTTTTATTAATATTTGCTCTTTTGGGAGATAGTTGAACTTTGTCATTTTTGGAGTAATTACTTGCATAAGAGGTGCATAGCGTTTCCGGATAACTCCTCCTACAGTTTGAATGCTAGGAAGTTTTCACTTTGCTGGCTATTTGTACATATATTGAAGGTGTGCATGTTGACAGGGTTTTGATTTTTATTAATATTTGCTCTTTTGGAAGACAGTTGATCTTTGGAGTATATACTTGGATAAGAGGTGCATAGCGTTTCCGGATAACTCCTCTTACAGTGACCTATGTGCTCCCATGCTCAACTTTGAGTATTTTGAAATAACACTTTGCATCTGCAGGGGCATCAATCGTGTCTCCCAGACACAATAATATCTCTAAGAAAGTCCTACATTGACTTTGTTATAATACAGTTACTTCAGAGTGGAGATACTGGGGCATCACTTTGTCTAGTTTATTTATACTAACAGGTAGTCTGAGAGAACTTCAAACTATTTTTCAATTCATTTTTATCTAATTTTATTTGATTGAAACTCTTGCATTTGCTTAGCAGGTGCCATGCCTGCATACAAGTCAAAAATAGGTAAGGGGGGACAGCTTGAGTAGTTAATGTTCAAACTTATACAAACTTGTCATTTCTGTTGGTTTTTAGGTACAAGCAGGCTGCTGACCAGGATACAGTTACCAGTCCAAAGAAAACTAAATCTGAACACCACAGTAAATCTAAAGGGAGGAAAAAAGTGGATGATTTATGGAATGGTATAATTTAATTTTTTTTTACTACTGCAGAAATTTTCTAGACAAAAGTCCTTTCTGTATATATATCCTTGCCTTGACCTTTGACAAAAGGGGTAATGATATAATCAAACTTCTAGGAATATTTAGGATTTGTTGCCTATAGGTTGCATTTCTGTAAATATTGGCAATGCAATTTTCCATAGGAACTCCTTTTACGGCTAAAACTGTACCACTTTTACTATGAAGTTTTGAACAAAATCTTATCCTAGAATTGAAAGTTCATATGCACTACAATTTTTTTCAAAGGTCAAAATATAGGGCTGTGCGGCATATTTTCAACGTTTATATGCCCTGAACTTTTCAGAGTTTAAACTAACACTAATTTTCTTAACTACCCCTACCTCCAATGAAGGGTTACCACAGATTTCAATGTAAACAATATGCACATGTATATTTACTGGTAACATTCCCAAGTTATGTCTCTATGAGATGGAACACAGAGAGCATAACTGGGAACCAGTATGTAAACAAAATTAATTTTCTATGAATATTCTAAATCTCCCCAAAAGAGGCGTGGTTTGAGAAACAGCTGTATTTACAAAGTGCAACCTATACAAACATTTATTCAAATAGGAAACTCTCTAAAATCAGTTTTTCTCACATTAATACTCATTTATCAGAATTATAGCCTGAAAGAAATCACTGTGTATACTCTAAGTTTTTTTTTACTGAACATTTTATACCCCTCCCCTGTTTCAATTTTTAAAAGAATTTGAAAACAAGACTTTAATTATTGCCAGCTTACCCTATTTGCATATTTTCTGATATAAAATGCCTAGAACCTGTTTAAAACTGTTTTGATAACATATTGAAAGCATATCAGAATACTATAAATGTTATGTTTAGCAGTCAATCATTACAACATTCAAGATTATATAAAATATCCAATCCTGCCTCTGTCTCCAGTCCACATCTTACTGTATGCCTATTTGTCAATTAAAGTTCACATTTTCTACCTCAAATGGTCAATTTAGAATTCTTGGCACAACAGTATCATCTGTAACCATATATCTGACACAATTTACCTAATAAATATACTAGAAGTGTTCAAACAAAGCCATATTTGCAATAGTTGTATGTATGCAGATACCAGTCTGAGATATAAATTCACTTAAAATGTTATAGAGATGACTGCTAACATCTGATTTTTGCATAACTTCCAAGCATAGTAATTGTTTTCTATATCAAGAACTTAAAAATCATAAAATCATAGCATTTACAGGTTAAATTATCTGTTTTATGACCCAGGGGGTAGGCAATTTTCTATGTTTTTTGCCCCTGGGGCCTCAAATTTCCTAAATTATTCTGCTGTTTCTAGCAATTTGGAATATTTAGTACATATTCAGGATAGAACACACTATTGTTAGTTTTGTTGAGATATTTTTGTATTTCTAGCTTGTATTTTTTATGCCGTGGTGACAAAAAAGCAGATTTAGGTGTTACGGCTTACTTTTGGGTTAATGACAGGACACAAATACTCCATAAATAATATTCAGGAAGGATCGATGAGTTTCAATGACTGCGAAGAGTAAATATAAGCACTTCTTAACAATTTAACTTACAAACATGCAAATATTATGAATTAATTTTGTATTCAGGACTTTAAGTAAACTATGCATACTGTAAACTGTGAATTTATGCTGAGTCATCATATCTAAGGCCCAGGATTCTATCAATCTTCATGAAATATTTATAAAACTTCATATTTGAGTTAATTTCTTTAAAATCTGTGAGATAAAGAAAATTTGGTTAAATTCTGAATGTTCTCTTTTTTCACCCTATATAGGTTGCATTTCTGTAAATATTGGCAATGCAATTTTCCATAGGAACTCCTTTTACGGCTAAAACTGTACCACTTTTACTATGAAGTTTTGAACAAAATCTTATCCTAGAATTGAAAGTTCATATGCACTACAATTTTTTTCAAAGGTCAAAATATAGGGCTGTGCGGCATATTTTCAACGTTTATATGCCCTGAACTTTTCAGAGTTTAAACTAACACTAATTTTCTTAACTACCCCTACCTCGAATGAAGGGTTACCACAGATTTCAATGTAAACAATATGCACATGTATATTTACTGGTAACATTCCCAAGTTATGTCTCTATGAGATGGAACACAGAGAGCATAACTGGGAACCAGTATGTAAACAAAATTAATTTTCTATGAATATTCTAAATCTCCCCAAAAGAGGCGTGGTTTGAGAAACAGCTGTATTTACAAAGTGCAACCTTAAAGCCGAGTAATGATACTGTGACATGTTCTGATCTTGTCCTGAACATTACAGCTAAGTAATGATACTGTTACATGTTCTGATCTTGTCCTGAACTTTACAGCTAAGTAATGATACTGTTACATGTTCTGATCTTGTCCTGAACTTTACAGCTAAGTAATAATACTGTGACATGTTCTGATCTTGTCCTGAACTTTGCAGCAAAGTAATGATACTGTTACACAGCTAAGTAATGATACTGTTAAGTGTTCTGATCTTGTCCTGAACTTTAAAGCTGAATAATGATACTGTTACATGTTCTGATCTTGTCCTGAACTTTAAAGCTAAGTAATGATACTGTTACATGTTCTGATCTTGTCCTGAACTTTACAGCTAAGTAATGATACTGTGACATGTTCTGATCCTGTCCTGAACTTTACAACTAAGTAATGATACTGTGACATGTTCTGATCTTGTCCTGAATTTTACAGCTGAGTAATGATACTTTGACATGTTATGATCTTGTCTTGAACTTTACAGCTGAGTAATGATACTTTGACATGTTATGATCTTGTCTTGAACTTTACAGCTGAGTAATGATACTGTGACATGTTCTGATCTTGTCCTGAACTTTACAGCTAAGTAATGATACTGTGACATGTTCTGATCTTGTCCTGAACTTCACAGCTAAGTAATAATACTGTGACATGTTCTGATCTTGTCCTGAACTTCACAGCTAAGTAATGATACTGTGACATGTTCTGATCATGTCCTGAACTTTACAGCTAAGTAATGATACTGTTACATGTTCTGATCTTGTCCTGAACTTTACAGCTAAGTAATGATACTGTTACATGTTCTGATCTTGTCCTGAACTTTACAGCTAAGTAATAATACTGTTACATGTTTTGATCTTGTCCTGAACTTTGCAGCTAAGTAATAATACTGTTACATGTTCTGATCTTGTCCTGAACTTTACAGCTAAGTAATAATACTGTTACATTTTCTGATCTTGTCCTGAACTTCACAGCTAAGTAATAATACTGTGACATGTTCTGATCTTGTCCTGAACTTTAAAGCTAAGTAATGATACTTCTATGTGTTAAAACTGATATGATTTATGCTTTTATTGTAGACGGTCACTGTCCTGTGATGGTTCCTGCATTAAATGCTTACTTAACAGACAAACTGCCAGCCTTTGTAACAGTTATGGATCCTTCTCTTGATGTTATAGCTCTACTTAGAATATTACATGCCTTCAATAATTATTGGTCTACTATGTATGAGGTAGGTTGATTAAACAAGGATTCCATCACATAGGTTAATGTTTCTCTAAGGGTACTCTGGCTTTTCTAACCAATAAAAATTTTCCCCCATTATGAAGCCGATTTATACCTTGAGTTAAGATCTTGTATGATTTATACCTTGAGTTTAGATCTTGTATGATTTATACCAGGAGTTAAGATCTTGTTTGATTTATACCTTTAGTTAAGATCTTGTATGGTTTATACCTTTAGTTAAGATCTTGTATGATTTATACCTTGAGTTTAGATCTTGTATGATTTATACCTTGAGTTTAGATCTTGTATGATTTATACCTGGAGTTAAGATCTTGTATGATTTATACCTTGAGTTAAGATCTTGTATGATTTATACCTTGAGTTAAGATCTTTTTTTGTCTACAGTCTCATAGTTTATTATCTGTTTACATTAAAAGAAAATCTTGATATTTTTGATATTTCAGGTGCCATTTTCTCACAAACCTATTATGTCTTTCAATGAGTTCTTAAGTTCAAAATTAACAGCCAAAGCTAACAGACAGCTACAAGACCCACTGGTGATTATGACAGGCAATTTGCCTAACTGGTTGGCAGAGATAGCCAATGCAGCGTAAGTAGAAAAAGACATTTTAGTTAAATTTTATATGGTAATACATAGAGGTCAGGAGATTGGGAGTTATTTGTATAGGAATATATTGTGATATATATGTAAGAGTCAAATCTATGTCATGACTCTAATCTGTGTCCTTTCATCAAGTCCATGACCTATCCTTGATTATGTCACAAACATTGAAATATTCTTGTGTATGTTCAGCTCCATATGTTTTACTTAGTCATAGACTAACAGAGTTGTGGTAGGACTAAAGCATTTTCTCAGTCAGTAATTGTTAAAGGTTTGTTTGTTACTTGGTCATAGACTAACAGAGTTGGGGTAGGAAGCATTTGCTCAGTCAGTAATTGTTAAAGGTTTGTTTGTTACTTGGTCATAGACTAACAGAGTTGTGGTAGGACTAAAGCATTTGCTCAGTCAGTAATTGTTAAAGGTTTGTTTGTTACTTGGTCATAGACTAACAGAGTTGTGGTAGGACTAAAGCATTTGCTCAGTCTGTAATTGTTAAAGGTTTGTTTGTTACTTGGTCATAGACTAACAGAGTTGTGGTAGGACTAAAGCATTTGCTCAGTCAGTAATTGTTAAAGGTTTGTTTGTTACTTGGTCATAGACTAACAGAGTTGTGGTAGGACTAAAGCATTTGCTCAGTCAGTAATTGTTAAAGGTTTGTTTGTTACTTGGTCATAGACTAACAGAGTTGTGGTAGGACTAAAGCATTTGCTCAGTCTGTAATTGTTAAAGGTTTGTTTGTTACTTGGTCATAGACTAACAGAGTTGTGGTAGGACTAAAGCATTTGCTCAGTCAGTAATTGTTAAAGGTTTGTTTGTTACTTGGTCATAGACTAACAGAGTTGTGGTAGGACTAAAGCATTTGCTCAGTCAGTAATTGTTAAAGGTTTGTTTGTTAATTGGTCATAGACTAACAGAGTTGTGGTAGGACTAAAGTATTTGCTCAGTCAGTAATTGTTAAAGGTTTGTTTGTTAATTGGTCATAGACTAACAGAGTTGTGGTAGGACTGAACATTTGCTCAGTCAGTAATTGTTAAAGGTTTGTTTGTTACTTGGTCATAGACTAACAGAGTTGTGGTAGGACTAAAGCATTTGCTCAGTCAGTAATTGTTAAAGGTTTGTTTGTTACTTGGTCATTGACTAACAGAGTTGTGGTAGGACTAAAGCATTTGCTCAGTCAGTAATTGTTAAAGGTTTGTTTGTTACTTGGTCATAGACTAACAGAGTTGTGGTAGCACTAAAGCATTTGCTCAGTCAGTAATTGTTAAAGGTTTGTTTGTTACTTGGTCATAGATTAACAGAGTTGTGGTAGGACTAAAGCATTTGCTCAGTCAGTAATTGTTAAAGGTTTGTTTGCCAACAGAAAAAGCTTGAATTGAGTAAATTTCCACAGGAAAGAAGTTCACCAATAAAATCATGCAAAAGTATGACATTATATACATATACACGTGTAGGTCATAGCATGACATTATATACATATACATGTGTAGGTCATTGCATGGCCTATCATGATAAATATAATAACATGTAGTAAGACTTTAACGAAACACAGAAATTAAGAAGGCAGAACTAGACAATGATCTCAATATACTTTTTGAGATTTCAGCACACTCCCTAGGTTTTTTTATTCAAGTTCAAGATAATAACACAAGTTTGATTGCAAAAATTGTCAATATAAATTTGAAGTGAAACCAAAAGATAGAATAGAGAATGGAAATAGGGAATGTGTCAAAGAGACATCAACCTGACCAAAGAGCAGAAAACAGCCCAAGGCCATCAATAGGTCTTCAATGTAGCAAGAAAATTCCACACACAGCTGGCCCCTTAACAATAATGTATATTAGTTCAGCAAAATGGACAAATGAACCATAATTAAAGAAAAAACACAAGACTAACAAAGGGTAGAGGTAACCCTGAACATCACAGCAGCAACTGTAATGCATACGGGTGATAATAGTCCTGCTTTGCAGACAGCTGTAGTTTAGGAAGCAACAGATACATTGATTTAATTCTACTACTTTCTAAGCAGTATGTAAATTTTGTACTTTGAGGTAAACAAGTTGGTTAATTGCTCAAAATATACATACAGTTGATTGTTAAAGTGTTCATTAAGTAGATGATGTTAAAGTGTTCAATAAGTAGATGATGTTCTATGTTTCAGACCATTCATGTTTCCTTTTGAAACTCGTCAGTTATTATTTTATGCCACAACGTTTGACAGAGATCGAGCCCTAATGAGACTACAAGATAACACTGGTGACAATAGCTCAAATGATAATAATGAGAGAGTAGCTCCCAGGCTTGATAGAAGAAGGGTAAGAGTTTTCACTTCTCATTTCCAATTAATAACAGTTAACAAAGGAAGTCTTCATGATACTGTTTACAAGACTAACATGTAGATGCTATTTTATCAATTTAAGGGCATATGATACAGTAGCAAGGGCAGATAATATTACAGTTAAATTTAACGTGTTTTTTTTTTGCAATGTTACTAATGATAATCATCCAAAATTTGGTAAAATTCACTAACGTTTTCAAATCAGTTACATGAATTTTGAAGTATTTGCAAAGGAAATTGAACATCATGTATATTTCAAATTCAAGGCAAATGAAGATTGTTTACTTTTCTATCATTACTAAATATGTATATCACTATAATTCATATAGCGGTTTTGTTTATGGCTGGAATAGCTGCATGAGGATGTTGCATTTTAAATACATAGCAACATGATTTAGCACCAAAAAAGGGAAATTGGTATCTTCAGCATTAAAAAAATAGGTTTTCAATCTCTAGCTAAAAAATGAGCACATGGACCCCATATTTTTCTTTTGCAATCAACTTTGTACTCCTTCAGAAATGTAATATCATAATCAGAAGAAAAAGTCAACAGTAGATTTTTTTCTATATACATTTCTATTTGCAAGTTAAATGTCTATGGCTTTTTATTTCCAATAATTGAATGATTGCACAAAATGTTTATCATACTCAGTCTTAGTCTTCGGGACTTTCTTAAAGGCCTGTAAATTAAGGAACACTTTGGCTTAGTCTTAGGGACTTTCTTAAAGGCCTGTAAATTAAGGAACACTTTGGCTTAGTCTTAGGGACTTTCTTAAAGGCCTGTAAATTAAGGAACACTTTGGCTTAGTCTTAGGGACTTTCTTAAAGGCCTGTTAATTAAGGAACACTTTGGCTTAGTCTTCGGGACTTTCTTAAAGGCCTGTAAATTAAGGAACACTTTGGATTAGTCTTCAGGACTTTCTTAAAGGCCTGTAAATTAAGGAACACTTTGGCTTAGTCTTAGGGACTTTCTTAAAGGCCTGTAAATTAAGGAACACTTTGGGAAAAAAAAACAATTGAAAAAATCTCTTCGTTTCAAAGTTGTTTGTTATTTTTTTTTTTTTTTTTGGAAAAGTATTAAAAATTGAAATTTTGCGTTTGACATGAAACATGCAAATTTCAAACTGAAATATCTCAGAAAGTCATGAAGGTATATTTTTCTTTGCATATTTCAATTGTGCATATCAAAATTTACTTTTTGACAAAATTTTAAGGAAAAATCATCGAGAAAACTTTTCTGTATTGTATGCCCTGGAAACTTTGTTTTTACCCGTGTAGACATCTAAGGGCTAAGGGTTAAATATATTGATGCAATTTATCTAATTTATCTGAACACTATTCTTTGGTGTCTGTGAACTAGCAAAGCATTAGTTAAAACAAATTGATGAATATGATGAAATTATGACTTTTGACCTCAAGGCGGAATTGTTTTATGTTCTTGAATAAATGATGACCAGGGCTCTCGGTCATAAAACTTTACTCAGTACTCATTGATCAAGTTTATGAGGTCCAAAATTTGTGACCTTTCAACATGTACTTATTTATGCACCGTGTGTGTATTATTATTTATAAACAATATTATACTAAAAACCATTAAAAATGACGTATGCCCTTGAACTTTGAATTTAAAGAGATATTATTAAGTAACAAGTAAGCTTGTCCAGGACAGAACATTTTTATCATTTGGATCAACTTTTGGTATTTACATGTTGGTGATGACATACTGTTGTGACTGACATGACTTATTCAGCTTGTATTTATAGAGATAACTGTTGATCTTGTTTTTCTCGCATAGCCAAGTTTTTCTCTAATTTTACTTGAAGGTGAGACAAGGTTAGTTTACTAATACAATTTTAGTTATAGTTCGTGTTTTCTGTGTTTTAGCGAGTTGTAAACCGGTCAGATTTGTTAAAACAAGCAGAGAAAGTTATTGATGAACTGGGTAATTCTAAAGCCTTACTGGAAATTCAATACGAGAACGAGGTAAGATTGATCATCTTATAGACTTTTAATGTGTTATTCAATTTCAATGGGGTTTTATTCTTGAATTCTTGGGGTTCTTTAATATGCTGAATCTAACCGTGTATTAAGTTTTTGGATTTTGGGCCCCGTTTTTAAATTGGTCCAAAGGGTCCAAAATTTAACTTTGTTTGATTTCATCAAAAATTGAATTATTGGGGTTCTTTGATATGCCGAATCTAACCATGTATTTAGATTCTTAATTTTTGGTTCCGTTTTCAAATTGGTCTACATAAAGGTCCAAAGGGTCCAAAATTAAACTTAGTTTGATTTTAACAAAAATTGAATTTTTAGGGTTCTTTGATATGCTGAATCTAAACATGTATTTAGATTTTTGATTATGGGCCCAGTTTTCAAGTTGGTCCAAATCGGGGTCCAAAATTAAACTTTGTTTGATTTCAACAAAAATTGAATATATGGGGTTCTTTGATATGCTGAATCTAACCATGTATTTATATTTTTGATTTTTGGGCCCCGTTATCAACTTTGTCCACATTGAGACCAAAAGGGTCCAAAATTAAACTTTGTTTGATTTCATCAAAAATTGAATTCTTGGGGTTCTTTGATAAGCCGAATCTAACCGTGTATTTAGATTCTTAATTTTTGGTTCCGTTTTCAAATTGGTCTACATAAAGGTCCAAAGGGTCCAAAATTAAACTTAGTTTGATTTTAACAAAAATTGAATTTTTAGGGTTCTTTGATATGCTGAATCTAAACATGTATTTAGATTTTTGATTATGGGCCCAGTTTTCAAGTTGGTCCAAATCGGGGTCCAAAATTAAACTTTGTTTGATTTCAACAAAAATTGAATATATGGGGTTCTTTGATATGCTGAATCTAACCATGTATTTATATTTTTGATTTTTGGGCCCCGTTATCAACTTTGTCCACATTGAGATCAAAAGGGTCCAAAATTAAACTTTGTTTGATTTCATAAAAAATTGAATTCTTGGGGTTCTTTGAGATGCTGAATCTAACCATGTATTTAGATTTGGGATATTAGACCATAATAGGTGAATGTCCAATTTAAAATTTTTAAGTTCTTAGACCACATTCATTCTGTGTCAGAAACCTATGCTGTGTCAAATATTTAATCACAATCCAAATTCAGAGCTGTATCAAGCTTGAATGTTGTGTCCATACTTGCCCCAACTGTTCAGGGTTCGACCTCTGCGGTCGTATCAAGCTGCGCCCTGCAGAGCATTTTATTACCTGTGTTTTTATATAAAAATAATCTTCAAATTTTTATACGACCGCAAAAAAATTTTTGTGGTCGTATATTGGTATGACGTTGGCGTCGGCGTCGTCCGAAGACACATTGGTTTTCGCACTCTAACTTTAGTTTAAGTGAATGGATCTTTATGAAATTTTACCACAAGGTTCAATACCACAAAAGGAAGGTTGGGATTGATTTTGGGGGTTATGGTAATAACAGTAAAGGAATTAGGGGCCAAAAAGGGGCCAAAAATAAGCATTTTTATACGCCCGTTTACGGGACGTATTATGGTATACCGTTGTCCGTCTGTCCGTCCGTCCGTCTGTCCGTCCGTCTGTCCGTCGTCAACATGTCGGACATTAACTCAAGAATGCTTTAACCAATTTGCATAAAACTTTGGTGAATTGTTTATATCTATTGACGTGAGCTCCCTTTCGTTTTTTATAAAATTTAGATTTTACGTTTCCGAGTTATGGGGTTTTATTCATTAAAAAAAGGGGGATTTTCCAGTTTTCGGACAATAAGTCAAGAATGCTTTCACCAACTTGCAAGAAATTGTGGTGAATTGTTTATATCTATTAACATGAGCTCTCTTTTGATTTTTATAAATTTTAGATTTTATGTTTCCGAGTTACAGGGTTTTATCCATAAAAAAAGGGGGGATTTTTCAGTTTTCGGACAAAAACTCAAAAATGCTTTCAGCAATTCTTATGAAACTTTGGTGAATTGTTTGTATGTATTGATGTAAACTCTCTTTAGAATTTTTTAAATTTTACATTTAACATTTCAAGGCTTCCAAAACGGTCATATATGCCGGACATTTGTATAATGTCCGGTAAAAGTCCGGCTGGGCAAAGCATGAAACGGTCATCTACTTTTTAGTTTTCAAGGCTTTAAGAGACGGTCATTTTAACATAATTCGCAATCTTTTTGACCCAACGTTTTGCCTTTAACAGCCACACATTTCCGGTCATAAAAGTGACATGATCATTAAGTACTATCAAAACAACCCCTACTTTAATAACTTCTCATTTTAATCAAGGCTAATTAGTTGTCAAACAGATGAAATTTACCTGTTCAGGTGACAGGTAAACTATTTTGAACCGGACATTGATCGGTCTATTCAAAGTTATTTTCTTACATTTCAGCGGTTTGCATCTAATTAATTTAGTCAAAGATTTAAATTATCAGAAATACGTTTACAAATATGATTTGATGAAAAAATTGAAAAGGTGAAAATGAAAAATCGTCATAACCACGTTGTTTGAACCTAGAGACATGTCTCTGTTTGAACTAGTACACGTGTGCGCATGTGCGCAGGTGTGAAATTTAATTATGTATCCTAATTTCTTTAAAAAAATGCTTAAATTGTCATTGATACCTTTATCTCACGTTTATTTCGAATATTTTCTTGAAGAAATAACGTAGAAAGAGCTACTTCCACTCATTCACGCTTTGCAAACGTACACGGAATTTACGTATCCGTCTCTGGTCCATGTTTTACCATTGTCAAGATAACATCCGGTATAAAAACGAAAGTAAAGTTTTTGACAACGTTATTTTGCACAAATAAAGAGTCTAAGGCAGATATAAGTACGCTAATGTTGCACACTTCGAATGATGCACTGCCAATTTAACAGTTTAAGTCAGAACTTCGAATTTGAATCAAAGAAAGTTTAATATCTTTTTTTTTAATGTCAATCATTGGGATGGCTAACTCGGCAACTGATTACCATAATTGCCTTTTGTTTATTTAGTCAGAACTCAGAAGGGATTAAAATCGGGATAATATAAAAAATGTCCGGCTGGCTAAAAATAATTTTGGAAGCCCTGTAACATTTCTGAGTTATGGGGTTTTATTCATTAAAAAAAGGGTGATTTTCCAGTTTTCAGACAATAACTCAAAAATGCTGTCACCAATTCTTATGAAACTTTGGTGAATTGTTTATATCTATTGATGTAAGCTCCCTTTTTATTTTCATAAATTTCTAATATGGAATTGAGAAATAATTGAACTTTATTTGTTTATAGTCTTGACAACAGATTTACTAAGTGTTGCACAACAGCAAGAAATTTTTAATTGAATATAAATTCAATTCATATAACCAATTTAAGTTCTTTGAATACATTTATTCAGAAACCTATAATATGTCAAATATTTAATTACAATCCAAATTCAGACCTGAATCAAGCTTGAATATTGTGTCCATTTCTGCCCCAACTGTTCAGGGTCGGACCTCTGCGGGCGTATCTAGCTGCGCTCAGCGAAGCAGTTTATTGTAACTTCCAGACATAACTTGTGTGTTAGTTTATGGATCTCTCTGACATTGTACCACAAGGTTCCATATCACTAAAGGAATGCTGGGATTGATTTTGGGGGTAATTGCCTCCAAATTTTAGGAATTAGGGGCCAAAAAAGGGGCAAAAAACAAGCATTTTTCTAGTTTCATGACAATAACTTGTGTGTAAGTGTATGGATCTTTCTGAAATTGTACTACAAGGTTCCATATCACAAAGGGAAAGCTGGGTTTGAGTTTGGGGGTAACTGCCCTAAACGTTTAGGAATTTGGGGCCAAAAAGGGGCCAAAAAACACATTTTTTTCTAGTTTCCAGACAATAACTTGTGTTCAAGTGTATGGATCTCTCTGAAATTGTACTGCAAGGTACCATACCACAAAGGGAGGGCTGGGATTGAGTTTGGGGATAATGAATCATAATGGGGGTTCAAAAAATTTTGGGGGGGGATTTATTTTTTTTTCCTTTTTTTTCTTTTTTTCCTTTTTTGTTTCTTTTAAAATTTTCCATTTTAAGTTGGTTATTTCTGATTTATATTTAAAATCAAATAATAATGATATGGTAGGAGATACACACCAAACAGGATGTGTAAATTATTATATAATAAGTATTGTGCAATAGCAAGAAATTTTCAATTGCACAGTATTGCACAATAGCAAGAAATCTTCAATTGCACAGTATTGCGCAATAGCAAGAAATCTTCAATTGCACAGTATTGCGCAATAGCAAGAAATATCCAATAGCACAATATTGCCCAATAGCAAGAAATTGTCAATTGTACAGTATTGCGCAATAGCAAGAAATATTTAATAGCACAGGATTGTGCAAAAGAAGATACTTCCTATAAATTGCTTATTTCTTGACCAATTTCAATGGGGTTTTATTCTTGATTTCATGGGGTTCTTTAATATGCTGAATCTAACCGTGTATTTAGTTTTTGGATTTTGGGCCCCGTTTTTAAATTGGTCCACATTGAGGTCCAAAGGGTCCAAAATTAAACTTTGTTTGATTTCATCAAAAATTGAATTATTGGGGTTCTTTGATATGCCAAATCTAACTGTGTATTTAGATTCTTAAATTTTGGTTCCGTTTTCAAATTGGTCTACATTAAGGTCCAAAGGGTCCAAAATTAAACTTAGTTTGATTTTAACAAAAATTGAATTCTTAGGGTTCTTTGATATGCTGAATCTAAACATGTATTTAGATTTTTGATTATGGGCCCAGTTTTCAAGTTGGTCCAAATCGGGGTCCAAAATTAAACTTTGTTTGATTTCAACAAAAATTGAATATATGGGGTTCTTTGATATGCTGAATCTAACCATGTATTTAGATTTTTGATTTTTGGGCCCCGTTATCAACTTTGTCCACATTGAGGTCAAAAGGGTCCAAAATTAAACTTTGTTTGATTTCATCAAAAATTGAATTATTGGGGTTCTTTGATATGCCGAATCTAACCGTGTATTTAGATTCTTAATTTTTGGTTCCGTTTTCAAATTGGTCTACATTAAGGTCCAAAGGGTCCAAAATTACACTTAGTTTGATTTTAACAAAAATTGAATTCTTAGGGTTCTTTGATATGCTGAATCTAAACATGTATTTAGATTTTTGATTATGGGCCCAGTTTTCAAGTTGGTCCAAATCGGGGTCCAAAATTAAAGTTTGTTTGATTTCAACAAAAATTGAATATATGGGGTTCTTTGATATGCTGAATCTAACCATGTATTTAGATTTTTGATTTTTGGGCCCCGTTATCAACTTTGTCCACATTGAGGTCAAAAGTGTCCAAAATTAAACTTAGTTTGATTTTAACAAAAATTGAATTGTTAGGGTTCTTTGATATGCTGAATCTAAACATGTATTTAGATTTTTGATTATGGGCCCAGTTTTCAAGTTGGTCCAAATCGGGGTCCAAAATCTAACTTTGTTTGATTTCAACAAAAATTGAATATATGGGGTTCTTTGATATGCTGAATCTAACCATGTATTTAGATTTTTGATTTTTGGGCCCCGTTATCAACTTTGTCCACATTGAGGTCAAAAGGGTCCAAAATTAAACTTTGTTTGATTTCATCAAAAATTGAATTATTGGGGTTCTTTGATATGCCGAATCTAACTGTGTATTTAGATTCTTAATTTTTGGTTCCGTTTTCAAATTGGTCTACATTAAGGTCCAAAGGGTCCAAAATTAAACTTAGTTTGATTTTAACAAAAATTGAATTCTTAGGGTTCTTTGATATGCTGAATCTAAACATGTATTTAGATTTTTGATTATGGGCCCAGTTTTCAAGTTGGTCCAAATCGGGGTCCAAAATTAAACTTTGTTTGATTTCAACAAAAATTGAATATATGGGGTTCTTTGATATGCTGAATCTAACCATGTATTTAGATTTTTGATTTTTGGGCCCCGTTATCAACTTTGTCCACATTGAGGTCAAAAGGGTCCAAAATTAAACTTTGTTTGATTTTCATCAAAAATTGAATTCTTGGGGTTCTTTGATATGCTGAATCTAACCATGTATTTAGATTTTGGATATTGGACCATAATAGGTGAATGTCCAATTTAAAATTTTTAAGTTCTTAGACCACATTCAATCTGTGTTAGAAACCTATGCTGTGTCAAATATTTAATCACAATCCAAATCCAAAGCTGTATCAAGTTTGAATGTTGTGTCCATACTTCCCCCAACTGTTCAGGGTTCGACCTCTGCGGTCGTATCAAGCTGCGCCCTGCGGAGCATTTTATTACAGTTTATTTTTAAGTCTCCCAAACGAAGTTTGGGAAGACTTATTGTTTTTGCTCAGTTCTTATTATTATTATTATTCTTCTTCCTCTTCCTCTTCCTCTTCCGCCGCTTTTAAATTTGAACTTGTCCGCACCCGTTCTCCAAAACCGCTTGTCAGATTAACTTAGGGTTTCACAATATGTTAGATTAACATGTCTAGTGGTGCAATCAGGGTTTTGTTTGTGCAATGGGGTTTATAAAGGGGTACTTTGAGGGGCAAAAAGAAAAGAGGGTTTTACTATAGAACCCTATGGGATTTTATTTTTTTTAATTTTCAAATGATTATAAATTGAAAACCGTTTGTAATAGACACAATCTTTTTAATTGAAAATGTTCTAAATGATAAAACCCATTAAATGAAATACAGGGTTAGTCCCCAGGGGTCACCCCCACCCCCTGCCATTTAAGAAAGTTCTAATACCTTGTAAGTGGTCAAGATCCCCACCCCTAAACCATATATATTCTGGTTTGTCATGCTAAGATGGTTTGAATGATATACAGGGTTAGTCCCCAGGGGTCATCATGACCCCCTGCCATTTGAGAAAGTTCTAATATCTTGTAAATGGTCGAGATCCCCACCCCTAAACCATATATATTCTGGTTTGTCATGCTAAGATGGTTTGAATGATATACAGGGTTAGTCCCCAGGGGTCATCCCGACCCCCTGCCATTTGAGAAAGTTGTAATATCTTGTAAATGGTCGAGATCCCCACCCCTAAACCATATATATTCTGGTTTGTCATGATAAAGCACATGAAATGAAATACAGGGTTAGTCCCCAGGGGTCACCCCCACCCCATGCCATTTAAGAAAGTTCTAATATCTTGTAAGTGGTCAAGATCCCCACCCCTAAACCATATATATTCTGGTTTGTCATGCTAAGATGGTTTGAATGATATACAGGGTTAGTCCCCAGGGGTCATCCCAACCCCCTGCCATTTGAGAAAGTTGTAATATCTTGTAAATGGTCGAGATCCCCACCCCTAAACCATATATATTCTGGTTTGTCATGATAAAGCAAATCAAATGAAATACAGGGTTAGTCCCCAGGGGTCACCCCCACCCTATGCCATTTAAGAAAGTTCTAATATCTTGTAAGTGGTCAAGATCCCCACCCCTAAACCATATATATTCTGGTTTGTCATGCTAAGATGGTTTGAATGATATACAGGGTTAGTCCCCAGGGGTCATCCCGACCCCCTGCCATTTGAGAAAGTTGTAATATCTTGTAAATGGTCGAGATCCCCACCCCTAAACCATATATATTCTTGTTTGTCATGATAAAGCAAATCAAATGAAATACAGGGTTAGTCCCCAGGGGTCACCCCCACCCCATGCCATTTAAGAAAGTTCTAATATCTTGTAAGTGGTCAAGATCCCCACCCCTAAACCATATATATTCTGGTTTGTCATGATAAAGCAAATCAAATGAAATACAGGGTTAGTCCCCAGGGATCATCCCGACCCCCTGCCATTTGAGAAAGTTGTAATATCTTGTAAATGGTCAAGATCCCCACCCCTAAACCATATATATTCTGGTTTGTCATGCCAATATGATTTGAATGATATACAGGGTTAGTCCCCAGGCATCACTAATGCATATAACTTTACTGGACCAAACTAATTTTCACTAGACTTTGCCCAATGTCAGGCGACCCTGGGAATTACGAATTATGGGAGCTTCGTTTGGGAGACTTCGTAACAGCATCCTGTTACAATCATTTCTTGTTGTTTCTGGCTTTTTTCATGTGACAAATGAGATCATGGGTTGCCTTAGTAACTGAAGTTATATCAGACTTCACAAAATATGCTGGACTGTCCTACAAATCTGACAATTTATCGTAGGTCAGACAGATATTGGCCATTCACCAATCCAAATATAATGTGCTGTTATCTAATATGTTTGATCCCCTATTCAGGTGCCAAAATAAGAATAAAAAGTTTCAATATCATTTTTTGTTGTCACAATCCTTTTGATTAAACCTTAATTATTGTATCTTCTAACGTCTGTTGGTATTCCTGATCTTTACTATTAGGATTAAGAAATTCTTTGAAAACATTTATATAATACTATTTTGTGTTTGTTTCTGTGAACATGCACTGAATACCCAAAACGGGGAAAACAAAAAACTTATTTTTTTCCTGAATTTTTGGTCAGTCAGATAAATCATCACATATTGTCTGACCAAATGTCTGACAGCAGATAAATGATCACATATTGTCTGACAGCAGATAAATCATCACATATTGTCTGACCAAATGTCTGACAGCAGATAAATCATCACATATTGTCTGACCAAATGTCTGACAGCAGATAAATCATCACATATTGTCTGACCAAATGTCTGACAGCAGATAAATCATCACATATTGTCTGACAGCAGATAAATCATCACATATTGTCTGACCAAATGTCTGACAGCAGATAAATCATCACATATTGTCTGACCAAATGTCTGACAGCAGGTAAATCATCACATATTGTCTGACAGCAGATAAATCATCACATATTGTCTGACCAAATGTCTGACAGCAGATAAATCATCACATATTGTCTGACCAAATGTCTGACAGCAGATAAATCATCACATATTGTCTGACCAAATGTCTGACAGCAGATTAATCATCACATATTGTCTGACAGCAGATAAATCATCACATATTGTCTGACCAAATGTCTGACAGCAGGTAAATCATCACATATTGTCTGACAGCAGATAAATCATCACATATTGTCTGACCAAATGTCTGACAGCAGATAAATCATCACATATTGTCTGACCAAATGTCTGACAGCAGATAAATCATCACATATTGTCTGACCAAATGTATGACAGCAGATAAATCATCACATATTGTCTGACAGCAGATAAATCATCACATATTGTCTGACCAAATGTCTGACAGCAGGTAAATCATCACATATTGTCTGACAGCAGATAAATCATCACATATTGTCTGACCAAATGTCTGACAGCAGATAAATCATCACATATTGTCTGACCAAATGTCTGACAGCAGATAAATCATCACATATTGTCGGACCAAATGTATGACAGCAGATAAATCATCACATATTGTCTGACCAAATGTCTGACAGCAGATAAATCATCACATATTGTCTGACCAAATGTCTGACAGCAGATAAATCATCACATATTGTCTGACCAAATGTCTGACAGCAGATAAATCATCACATATTGTCTGACCAAATGTCTGACAGCAGATAAATCATCACATATTGTCTGACCAAATGTATGACAGCAGATAAATCATCACATATTGTCTGACCAAATGTATGACAGTTCTTTGATGATTTTTTGAAGTCTGTGATATTATCTTTTTTTCTTTTTCAAAGAGATCTATGTGTGTACAAGTATTTTGTAAAATTGTATATCATTTATACTCTTCTCAGAAGATCTAATTTTTGTTTTAATTTTATTTTTGTAGGTTGGAACAGGTCTAGGACCAACTTTAGAATTTTATGCATTAGTATCAAAAGAATTACAGAAATCAGAATTTGAATTGTGGAGAGGTGAATCTTTAGTAGAGAAAAACTCTTCAGGTATTATTTGTACTGCATAGATCAATGTTCAGCAACAGTCTTGTTTTTTAAAGAACCTACCAAAAGAAATGAGATGACAATTATGTTTTGGTATATTTACAACCAAAAGTAAAAGTAATATGATTTAAAACGCAGCAAGATAGAATAATAACACTGGTATTTAGTTACTATAGTAACTTAAAGAGAGTATAAAGTGGGCAATTATGTAATGTCAACAGAAACCTCAAACATACATTTCAATACAGATTTCTAGGATTATTTTCTAAACATGTTAGCATCACTGTCAAACCTCAAACATACATTTCAATACAGATTTCTAGGATTATTTTCTAAACATGTTAGCATCACTTTCAAACCTCAAACATACATTTCAATACAGATTTCTATCATTATCTTCTAAACATGTTAGCATCACTGTCAATCTGGCTCTGCATAAACAACTTCAGAAATGGTAATACAATGCACTTTGTAGTGTCCTATGAAATGACTTTTGTTTTACAGAAAATGAACATGCTACAGAATATAGTTTCTCCATCTGTGGACTGTTCCCAGCACCACTGGCACGCAATGCTAAGGCTGCCATTGTCAATAGAATTAAATCTAAGTTTAAATTCTTAGGCAAGTTTATGGCTAAAGCATTAATGGACTCCAGAATGGTAAGTTATTAATACAGAGTAATGAACATATATTTGCTTTTTACTGCTCTCTGATGAAAACCTGTCATTTTATTCGAAAAAAATAATTATACTATAAACTGAAAGAAATGAAAGGATATTTATTCCTTGCTGTCTGAGAAATATAGTTGTTATATTTTTTTTTCAATTTGATTTTTTTTTTAGAGAAATATAATTGATTATAAATGACAGACATTGTCAGGATCTCGTAGTTAGAAGCATTTTATAGTCTTTGCTCAATTTTCATGCCTGCTGTTTATTACAAGTGCATGGATCAACAACAGTAAATAAATGTGATAGATATATATCTTTGGTTTTATGATCCACTTTAAAATAAGTGTTTTCTGATGCAATTATCCTGAATGAAATCTCTTAGATTAGCAGTTTTCCATACTTTTTATACGACCGCAAAAAATTTGGAAGTCGTATATTGGTATCACATAGTTGTCGTCCAAAGACATTTGGTTTCCGGACAATAACTTTAGTATAAGTAAATAGAAATTTATGAAATTTAAACACAAGGTTTATAACCACAAAAGGAAGGTTGGGATTGATTTTGGGGTTATGGTCCTAACAGTTTAGGAATTAGGGGCCAAAAAAGGGCCCAAATAAGCATTTTTCTAGCTTCCAGACAATAACTTGTGGAATGGTGTATGAATCTCTCTGAAATTATACCACAGGTTTCCATACCACAAAGGGATGGTTAGGATTGACTTTGGGGGTTATGGCTCAAACCGTTTAGGAATTAGGAGCAAAAAAGGGGGAAAAACAAAGGTTTCCTGGTTAATGGACAATGTAAAAGCAGTGTAAGGGAGGTAATCCAAACACATTTGAAGTACAATGTTGTGTATTTGGATTACCTCCCTTACGCTGCTTTTAAATTTTATTCTTAGAAGTTACTATTGAAGGAATATTAATTTTAGCAATGATTATGTATGTCATTTTCTATTTTAAGACTTTTATGATGTTATTTAAATTGGTAATTATGGTTGCAAACTCCATTGGAAATTTGAATTGAGATTATGACCATATCTTGAGGGAAAGAATTTTTTTTTGGGGGGGTAAAAAGAAATTGGGGGGCAATTTCTTTTTTCATTTCAGATTTCAGAAATTATAAAGGAAAAATTTCTTCAAATATTTTTTTTTTGGGGGGCAAAAAAGGGGGGGATCAATACGCAACAGCATAGTGTATTTCACAAAAGCCAAAAAAAAGGGGGGGGGGTTAAATTTGCAACAGCATAGTGTATTGCTCAAAAGCAAAAAATTGATTATAAATTCAAATCATATAACCAATTCTAAGTTCTTTGACTAAAGTTATTCAGTGTCAGAAACCTATTATGTGTCAAATATTTAATTACAATCCAAATTCAGACCTGTATCAAGCGCGAATATTGTGTCCATTTTTGCCCCAACTGTTCAGGGTTAGACCTCTGAGGTCGTATCCAGCTGTGCTCAGCGAAGCATTTTATTAGTAAATGGTTAATTTTTCATACGATGAATTCTTCAACTATAGTTTTTTCTCGCCTGTGACGAAAAGAGCACAGAGTGAGACATAGGAATTGCTTTTCCGGCGACTGTGTCAACCCAGTACATATCAGTTTGACAATAATTTTTAGGTCCTGCCCCTAAGTCATCATGGTCCAGTGACTTTGAATAAATTAGCCATTTTCAATGCTAAGTTTTCTGCTCAAGTTAGTTTGATAGGAACTACTTGCGATAGATCAATGATATTTTCTATAAAGTTGCATTACTATCAGTACATATCAGTTTGACGACTATTTCAAGGCCCTACCCCCTAGGTCATGGTCCAGAGACTTTCAATCAATTAACAATTTTCAATATTAAGTTTTCTGATTAAGTTAATTTGACAGGAACTACTTACAATAGACAATATTTTCTATAAAGTTACATTGCTGTCTGTACATCTCAGTTTGTCAACCATTTCGAGGCCCTACCCACTAGTTGGTCCAGCAACTTTGAATTAATTAGCAATGTTGCTGTCCATCAGATTGTCTTTTTCTTAATTTTATGCGGACAGGCGAAACATACCTCTGTTTCAAAAGTTTATTTTTATGCCCCCGCTGTAGCGGAGGGGGCATTAAGTTTTACCCTTGTCCGTCCATACGTAGGTACGTACGAAAGAAGGTAGGTACGTACATCCCAAAATTGGTTTCCGTTCTCCAACTTGAGTTTGCCTCAAGCAAATGTTATAAAACTTATACACAATGCTTATTACCACAAAACACAAATCAGGTTTGAATTTTGGTGGTGTCACTTTTACCGTTCTAGAGTTATGCCCTTTACAAATGAAAAAATTGCTGAATTTTTCGTTTCTGTTCTCTAACTTTAGTTTGCCTCAACCAAATGTTATGGAACTTATACACAATGCTTATTACCACAAAATACAGATCAAGGTTGAATTTTGGTGGCGTCACTTTTACCGTTCTAGAGTTATGCCCCTTTATAAATGGAAAAATTGCTGAATTTTTCGTTACCTCAACTAAATGTTATGAAACTTATGCACAATGCTTATTACCACAAAACTCAGATCAAGTACAAATTTGGGTAGCGTCACTTTAACCGTTCTAGAGTTATGCTCCTCTACAAATGGAAAAATTGCTGAATTTTTCGTTTTCGTTCCCTTACTTTAGTTTGCCTAAACCAAATGTTATGAAACTTATACACAATGCATATTACCACAAAACACAGGTGAAGTTTGAATTTTGGTGGCGTCACTTCAACCGTTCTAGAGTTATGCCCCTTTATAAATGGAAAAATTGCTGAATTTTTCGTTTCTGTTCTCGAACTAAAGTTTGCCTCAACTAAATGTTATGAAACTTATGCACAATGCTTATTACCACAAAACTCAGATCAAGTACAAATTTGGGTAGCGTCACTTTTACAGTTCTTGAGTTATGTCCCTTTATAACGTTATATGCAAGGGGGGGGCATCATCTGTGTCCCATGGACATATTCCCCATTTATTTTGTAATATATATGTTATATTCAATTAAAGTAATAATGTTTTGTGTACAGCTGGACTTACCATTGTCCCTGGTTTTCTACAAATGGATGTTAGGACAAGAACACAGCCTTACATCAGCTGATCTACAGTTTATAGATCCTGTCATTGCCAAGTCTTTCCAACAGTTAGAGGATATTCTCAGGCAAAAACACAGAATACTTGCTGATAAATCACATGTGAGTTTATATCATCAAACAGTGGAATCTTTACATACCATTAACATGTGACATCATCTGGTGAAAACAGAATCCTCACTGATTGGATTATTGGTCATACATGAGTAAATAGGTCAACCTAGGGCAACATCATGACAATTACACTTTATAAATTTCAAAGCTCTTTTCATTTCTACCTTCATCAAGAACACTCAAACCCAAGCATATGAAAGCCAGAAATGAAAAGTGACATTTGTTTAAATCTTCAGACAAAAATAGAATATCATGAAGGATTAGTTATTTATATAAAAGATGGAGAATGAATCTAAATTTGACATGCTAGGGCAAAAAAATGTTACATATTTAGGGCTTCCAGACTGACCCTATTGTTTCATGAGGATTTCTTAAAAAAGTTTTCACCAACAAACAGGAATAAAACATAGTGATAGCTGATGAATTTTCAGTTGGAAATTTTTGACAGGAAGTTATTTTACAAATGAATGATCATGGAGTGTCATTTTATAACCTCAATCATGGTACCTCTTGTTTCAAGTTTATACACTTGTCATCTAGGAAGGAGGAGTTTTGCTACATGGAGGCTCTAGTTCTTTAATATCTGGCAACTATTTATTAGTCCCCTACCAACGAAGTCGAAGGGGTCTTTAAGTTTGCACTCTGTCCGTCTGTCTGTCTGTCTGTCTGTCTGTCTGTCCATCCTTCAGTCCGGCAAATCAGTTTTCCACACTTTTTTCCTTCGTGCTTGAAGATATTGATTTGATATTTGGTGTATTGTTTTATCATGACAAGTTACAGATCAAGCTTGAATTTTGTTCCGGTCTGATGATTTCGTGCAGAGTTATGGTCCTTGGACTTAAAAAAATTCACTCACATAATCAGTTTTCCGCATTTTTTTCCCTCATGCTTGAATATATTGGCTTGATATTTGTTACATAGTTTACATCATGACAAGTCATAGATCAAGTTAGCATTTTGTTCCAACACAATGAATTTTTAACCGGTAGGGGATTATGTTTTGCCATGCAATACACTCAGAATGCTTGTTTATAAAGAGCTTACAACAGTAACCTGTATCAAAAGCTCAATACATCCAGAATGAATTCTGGTAAAGCAGAGTATTATAAGGGCTGTTCCAAAAATAAATGAATGTGAGATGGGGGTTGGGAGGCACTTTTTATTTGACCCCACCATGCATAAATTTTTAATTGGATATTTCCTTTAAATGTTCAAGCAATCATTCTTGAATAACCACACCCATAAAATTTTAATAAAAGTGCCTTCCAACCCCCCACCCCCCCTCCCCAAACAATTAATTCTGGAATAGCCCTAAGGAGGATTATGGATGGTTTAAATACATTCCTTTTTGTAGAGCAAGCTGTAGCAATTTATTGTTCACAAATATTCTAAGCAGTAATTTTTTAGGACCTTCCATTTGAATTTAAAACTCTTTATGTCCTTCAAATATCTGAGATACTATGACTTTAGAATTCCTAAGTCTGACTGATGATTTTTTGGGATTAGTTCAGTGCAGTCTCTGTACCCAGGGAAAAAAAGTCATAGAAAACACCTGCTGATTATTCAAATTTTGAATAGGACGATAGAAATGGAATATGCATGTTTCCAAGAAACTGTTCTGTTTAAATGATGTTTTCCTGTATTTTACAAAGTATTTTCACCTCCATTTTGTAAATCTGCCCCTATTCAGAATGGCTGCAATAACCTTGAAGGGCCTATTGGAAAAGTAGTTCATCTTATTGGAGTAATGAAATAGGAATGTTGTATCATTTCAGACTGAGGAGAGTCGCCAGTTAGCCCTGGAAAGTTTAAGTATGGATGGCTGTAGTATAGAAGACCTAGATATTGACTTTACACTCCCAGGTTATAGTCACATAGAATTGAAGAAAGGAGGCAAGGATATACCTGTCACATTAGATAACCTTGAGGAATACTTGCAGGTAATTACTGGGCTAGGCCTACCAAATGGGATACATACATCTCTCTCTTACGACAACCTATGGGAATACTTACAGGTAATAACTGGGGCAGGCCTACCAAACGGGATTCATACATAACAACTTATGGGAATACTTACATGTAATAACTGGGCCAGGCCTACCGAACAGGATACATACATCTCTCTTTTATGACAACCTATGGGAATACTTGCAGGTAATTACTGGGCCAGGCCTACCAAACGGGATTCATACATTTGTCTCTTATGACAACCTACAGGAACACTTACAAGTAATTCCTGGGTTGGTCCTACAAAAAGGTATTCATACACCTGTCACTTACAACAACCTACAGGAATACTTACGGTAATAACTGGGTTGGGCCTTCCAAACAGGATTTATACATCTTGTCACTTACGACAACCTACAGGAATACTTAAGGTAATAACTGGGTTGGGCCTACCAAACGGGATTCATACATATTGTCACTTACGACAACCTACAGGAATACTTAAGGTAATAACTGGGTTGGGCCTACCAAACAGGATTCATACATATTGTCATTTACCACAACCTACAGGAATACTTAAGGTAATAACTCGGTTGGGCCTACCATAAGGTAATAACTCGGTTGGGCCTACCAAACGGGATTCATACATATTGTCACTTACGACAACCTACAGGAATACTTAAGGTAATAACTGGGTTGGGCCTACCAAACGGGATTCATACATATTGTCACTTACGACAATCTACAGGAATACTTACAGGTTATAACTGGGTTGGGCCTACCAAACGGGATTCATACATATTGTCACTTACGACAACCTACAGGAATACTTAAGGTAATAACTGGGTTGGGCCTACCAAACGGGATTCATACATATTGTCATTTACCACAACCTACAGGAATACTTAAGGTAATAACTCGGTTGGGCCTACCATAAGGTAATAACTCGGTTGGGCCTACCAAACGGGATTCATACATATTGTCACTTACGACAACCTACAGGAATACTTACAGGTTATAACTGGGTTGGGCCTACCAAATGTGATTCATACATCTGTCACTTACCACAACCTACAGGAATACTTACAGGTAATACAAATATTATCTTGTCAATTTAGACCACCAAGAGGAATATTTGCAGGCCATTATGACAAGACTTCACATAGAGGGAACTATATACCTTCCCTTGACAAACTTGAGGAATGCTCAATGTTTAATGATTGGGACACGACTCACCCTGTCCCTGGTCATAGGACATAAATTTGATACATTCATACTTATATAATAGGGTATGAACAAAGAAATGTTATTTTGGAGAAATTAAGTTTTTAGGTCAATGGACAAAATGACAACATATTTATAATGTGTGTTGATGGTGATACATTTGATAAGAGTAAATTTATTATATTATATGTTTCAATATTTACAGTTGGTAGTCCATTGGAGTTTAGTTGAAGGTGTGTCCAGACAGTTTGAAGCATTTAGAGAAGGATTTGAATCTGTATTTCATATGTCATCACTACAGAGTTGTTATCCTGATGAGGTATGCAAATACACCAATAAAAACTTCAATATACTTTGGTATTTTTACAAATGAGGCATTTTTATCAAAGTGGTTAAACCTTTCCATTATCATTATCTTTTACTTTTCTACAGACCAGTGACAAACTAATGTAAATTTTGTTTTTCTGTTAAAACTAAGGCCAAATAAAAATACATGCATGGTTCTGGTTTCATTCAAATAAAAATTAGGGTAAGTAGATCAGGATTTTTATGCCCACGCCGTAGCGGAGGGGGCATTAAGTTTTACCCTTGTCTGTCTGTACGTACCTACGTCCCAAAAAATTGGTTTCTGTTCTCTAACTTTAGTTTGCTTCAACCAAATGTTATGAAACTTAAACACAATGCTTATTACCACAAAACACAGATCAAGTTTGAATTTTGGTGGCGTCACTTTTACCGTTCTAGAGTTATGCCCCTTTACAAATGGAAAAATTGTTTTCAGTTCTCTTACTTTAGTTTGCCTCAACCAAATGTTATAAAACCTGTACACAATGCTTATTACCACGAAACACAGATCAAGTTTGAATTTTGGTGGCGTCACTTTTACCGTTCTAGAGTTATGCCCCTTTACAAATGGAAAAATTGCTGAATTTTTCGTTTTCAGTTCTCTTACTTTAGTTTGCCTCAACCAAATGTTATGAAACTTATGCACAATGCTTATTACCACAAAACTCAGATCATGTACAAATTTGGGTAGCGTCACTTTTTTAGTTCTTGAGTTATATCCCTTTATAATGTTATAAGTAAGTGGGAGCATCAGATGTGTCCAATGGACACATTCCCCATTTATTTGATGTTGTATGATATTCACTTGTGATATCTTTGTGTATGATACTCAATTGTGATATCTTTGTGTATAATACTCACTTGTGATATCTTTGTGTATGATACTCACTTCCAATATCTTTGTGTATGATATTCACTTGTGATATCTTTGTGTATGATACTCACTTCCGATATCTTTGTGTATGATACTCACTTGTGATATCTTTGTGTATGATACTCACTTGTGATATCTTTGTTTATCATATACTTGTATAAAATATTACTAAAATTTTACTGTTCAATAACATTTAAAAATATGAAAGGATTACTAGGTTTATTGATCAGATTCCTAAGAATTTCCTCAGCGGGCTGATAAAGGAACCTTTATTGACTGCTTCCGGAATGTTATCACATGCCTTTCCGTTAATTTCCGTGACGTTTATCACATGCAACGTCGTGCATTTCCGGAAATTTGTTCGAAAACGACAACACAGTGCGGAAAACCGCAAGTGATTTAAGACTTTTCAAAAAATGGTTGAGGAGCAAATTTCAAACTAAGAACATGATAATTGTTGTGACAAGATAAATAAAATGCTTGTAATATCAATAAAAACAATTAAAGTTAGGAAATTTGTATTTGGTTGTCTGTAAATTATTATCTAAAAATTCATGGAAAGACAAAATTTTAATTAATAGTTCTTGTCTGTATTTCTTCTGTTGAAGTATATGATAAAAAGATAATTACATGTCATTTATCATATCAGACCCTTTATCGGCCCTCGTTCATGATATCAGTCCTCGAGCCTGCGGCTCTTGGGCTGATATCATGACCTAGGGCCGATAAAGGGTCTAATATGAAAAATGCCATGTAATAATCTATACGTATGATATTGACTTGCGATATCTTTGTATGATACTCACTTGCGATATCTTTGTGTATGATACTCACTTATGATATCTTTGTGTGGTGATATTCACTTGCGATATCTTTGTGTATGATATTCACTTGAGATATCTTTGTGTATGATTCTCACTTGTGATATCTTTGAGTATGATACTCACTTGCGATATCTTTGTGTATCATATTCACTTGCGATATCTTTGTGTATGATCCTCACTTACGATATCTTTGTGTATGATATTCACTTGCGATATCTTTGTGTATGATACTCACTTCCGATATATTTGTGTATGATATTCACTTCTGATATGTTTGTGTATGATACTCACTTGCAATATCTTTGTGTATGCTACTCACTTGCAATATCTTTGTGTATGATACTCACTTGCGATATCTTTGTGTATGATTCTCACTTGTGATATCTTTCTGTATGATACTCACTTGTGATATCTTTGTGTATGATACTCACTTGTGATATCTTTGTGTATGATACATACTTGTGTTATCTTTGTGTATGATATTCACTTGCGATATCTTTGTGTATGATACTCACTTGTGATATCTACTCACTGCCGATATCTTTGTGTATGATATTCACTTGAGATATCTTTGTGTATGATATTCACTTGTGATATCTTTGTGTATAATATTCATTTGTGATATCTTTGTTTATGATTGTTATTGATACTTGTATCACTCTTTTCCCAGATGTTCATTATTCATCATAAGAATTTGAATGACACTTGTATCTCCAGTTTTTGTCAGGATGAAATTATTTGCTGTTTATAAATAATCAGATACAATGTTTGTCGGTAATAATTTACATTATACATTAAGTATATGACTGTTTCCAGAGCACTTACATTGAACATTAAGTATTTAACTGTTTTCAGAGCTGTTACAACACCAGTGTTTATTAAAGTATTAAACACTTTCTTTAAACATTAAGTATTTAACTGTTTCCAGAGCTGTTTCAACACCAGTTTTTATTAAAGTATTAAACACTTACATTATACATTAGTATTCGACTGTTTCAGCTGGAGCAATTATTCTGTGGTATACTAAACACTTACATTATACATTAAGTAATCGACTGTTTCAGCTGGAGCAGTTATTGTATTACATTTTACATTAAGTATTCAACTATTTCAGCTGGAGGAGTTATTCTATGGTATATTAAACACTTACATTATACATTAAGTAATCAAACACTTACATTATACATTAAGTAATCGACTGTTTCAGCTGGAGCAGTTATTCTGTGTACATTATACATTAAGTATTCCACTGTTTCAACTGGAGCAGTTATTCTGTGTACATTATACATTAAGTATTTGCCTGTTTCAGCTGGAGCAGTTATTCTGTGGTAATGTTACAGAACCCTGGGATACAAAGATGTTGTTAGAATGTTGCCGACCAGATCATGGTTATACACACGACAGTCGTGCTGTTAAATCCTTGTTTGAGAATCTGAGTTCATATGATATCAATGAACAGAGGGAATTTCTACAGTTTGTTACCGGGTCACCTCGTCTTCCAGTTGGAGGTCAGTAAAGAAACATTTTAAATCATTTTATTAAAAAGATCAGATGTCAAAGTAATATTTAAATATGACGTTACAATTTTACAGGTCTGCTGCAAATGATAATTTATAATACATCATAGGTATTATGACAAGTACTGTATGAATTATTACTCACCATGATATGTCATTTTTCCCATGGTGTTATCAGTTTGTTTTCGACTTATGAGTTTGAATGTCCCTTTGGTATCTTTCGCCTTTCTCCTTAAAGATACGTAAGGGAGCTAGTTAAAAGTTTAAGTAGCAAATACATAATAGATATCTTCAAATACAAGGCGTCCGTCCGTCCAGTCTTGTTAGCGCTCTCACAGGTTCAATTCTTACCAGATTTTTATAAAACTTATACTATAGGTTAATTTCAGCAATATCTCGGACAAGTTTTATAATGGTGGCCGATCGACTTTTTTTAAAAGAGTTATGCCCCTTGGAAATATTAAATTTATAGAAAATGGCCTCGATAGCGCTCTCACGGGTAGAATTCTTGCCAGATTTTTATAAAACTTACACTAGAGGTTAATATCTGAAATATCTCGGACAAGTTCTATAATGGTGGACGATCGACTTTTATTTTTTAAGAGTTGTGCCCCTTGGAAGTATTAAATTTATGGAAAATGGCCTCGTTTGCACTCTCACGGGTACAAATCTTACAGATCTTTATAAAACTTATACTATATGTTAATATCAGCAATATCTCAGACAAGTTTTAATTTGGTGGACGACCGACTTTTTAAAAAAGAGTTATGCCCCTTCGAAATATAAAATATATGCAACACAGGAGACATTGGAACTTTTATCAATTCATTATCAGTCTAATGATTATAATCTTTGAGCTGAGAGGCTCAAGGGCAACTATCACAAAAGAGGGCTGATAATAAATTTGATGTAATAAATGTCATGTGATATTCGTTTTACTGTTCATTTCATGTAAAGAAAACTCTAAATGGGACTGAAAATTTCTTTCAAATGAATTGAAAACAAGTAAAGTAGAAGATCTTTGTCAGTTATTTAGATGAATTTAAGATTTTAGTTCGAAAATATATCTTATAGAATAGGAAAGTGAATGACGTTAAAAAGATATTGAATCTTATAGTATATAGTATGGATACATGTTTGGTATACTTTTAGTTATAAGCATTTATTTTCTTATTAACAGAAAATGATATTTTGAATGGAACTTAATTGGTAAATAATTTAGAAAGCGTTAAATTTCCAGAACTATTATTAAAACATCAGCCAAGAGTATGATATATTACATAATTTTGAATTTTGAGTTTCTTTTGTTTTCAGGTTTTAGAAGTCTGAATCCTCCATTGACAATAGTCAGAAAGACATTTGAAACCAACGATAATCCAGACAGTTTTCTGCCTTCTGTGATGACATGTGTTAATTATCTCAAATTACCCGACTATTCATCTGCACAAATCATGCGAGAAAAACTACAAAAAGCTGCAAAAGAAGGACAACTCTCATTCCATTTGTCATAACAAAAATGTGTTTGTGTGTGTGTGTGTGTGTGGATTGTTCTCAGTATGAGTCAAATTGTGGTTGATATTTTCATGGTGGGAATTTTTTAAGATAATTAATATGCGGTCAATTTATTAATGCTTTAATTTAGTTTTGTTAATTAGACAGATTTGGTAGATCTTGTCATGAGATGTTTTTTCTGTTGTTTGCATTACTAGTCATATATTGTTTATATTTTATGTGTACTTTTGTTGAAGCAACCTTTGACTTTAAAAGTGAATAATGTGTGTGTCAACTTGTCCATGTGATTGATTTCTTTGTTAGATTAATGTGGAGTAAAGCATTGATGCAATATAACAGTATGAAATAATGTGATAATGAGAGATCATGGTTTCCTATTATGTTTTCATTCTTTATATGTATTTAATTGGATAAACGGTCATTTCTGTATGATGACATTGATCTATAATCTCACGCTGTTACTTTTAAACATGTTCTGTTTCAGGAAGGCACATAGAAATATCTACCAGCATTTGTTCTGATATAATCTTGATTCCAAATACTTGTGAATACTTTGATAAAGGGAGGTCATGTCTTCCAGCATTTGTTATGATATAGTATTAATTCTAAATAAGGCTGTATACTTTTTTAAAGGGAATGCACATAGAAATATCTTCCAGCATTTGTTCTGATATAATCTTGATTCCAAATAAGGGTGTATGTATATTTTGGTAAAGGGAGGTTAGACAAAGAAATATCTTCCCGCATTGATATCATCTTGATTCCAAATAAGGGCGCATATTTTGGTAAAGGGAGGTTAGACATGGAAATATCTTCCAGCATTGACATAATCTTGATTCCAAATAAGGGCATATATTTTGGTAAAGGGAGGTCAATCTGAACAGCAGTAATGTATATTTCAGTCACTTTCATCAATGTTTTTCATAATTACAAATTACATCAATTAGCAATGTGTATAACCAACCTACACTGAAGGGATATAACTCTCCTTTAATTACAAATTACATCAATTATCAATGTGTATAACCAACCTACACTGAAGGGAAATAACTCTCCAATAATTACAAATTACATCAATTAATAATGTGTATTACCAACTCCACTGAAGGGAAATAACTCTCCAATAATTACAAATTACATCCATTAATGATGTGTATAACCAACTTACACTGACAGGAAATAACTCTCCAATAATTTCAAATTACATCCATTAACAATGTGTATTGCCAACCAACACTGAAGGGAAATAACTCTCCAATAATTTCAAATTGCATCCATTAACAATGTGTATAACCAACCAACACTGAAGGGAAATAACTCGTTAAAAATTTGGCTCAGCGAGCGGATCTAGTACAAAGCAGGGTTCATATAGCTATCCCACTTAAATGATCTCGTCCTGAATATGCATTTAATTTCCACTGAATGTTAACAGCCATCCATCATCTATCAATTTATTAAAAGTGCATGCAAGGATGGAAGCAGGGTTATAATTTAGATTGAAAAAGCACTTGATTAATTGCAAATTGAACTTTTTAGTTGTTGTTTACTTTTGAAATTAAAATAGAATAGGGTTTTCCAAGTTTTATCTTGCCACTTATTGTGAAAAAACAGCTTAAATTGTTTTAGACCTACTTGCAGGCTTCAGATGAAATTTTGATATCTTATTAAAATATCCTTGTCCTTTCTAGAGAATTTGGTGCATTAAAGATTGTAAACCAATATATTTCACATTGACGGTAACTGTTTTTAGGATAAATTTTGCTACTTAAATTCTAATCATGATTGGAATCCATTGTTTGTATAAATGGTCTTTTTACATTAGTAACATTTATTACATAGATGTTACATTTTACTAGAAGTATTTTATTAAAGTAGAAGTTTTATTAATAACCTCACAACAATAAATGGTCACACATTTTAAAATCAAGATACAACAATGAAAAGAACATCCCACCTTGAAAAATAACAAGAGACAGTAAAAACCATACCAATGTTTGAAGAATAGGAAAATGTTTTTTTTTTCACCCCCATCAAATCTTATTGGTATTTCTATAAATATTTTGCAGGCCTTTGTATTTTGTATGTCTTTTTATTGTGTTTTACGTATAAATCTAGTTTGGCCAAATAAAATGTTATTTCTGCTTCACTTTACCAAAACCAACCATTTTCTTAAGAGGTTGATTCTTATATTTGTATTGCTGCAGATGAAGGAGAAACAAAATACCGTAGTGACTGAGTACTTCACCTTGTTCATTTAAATTCCTGATGGGAGTCTATTTAAACTGTATTCATTTTTGTTGAGATTATACAGACGGCTGGTTCCCAAAACATGAGTCCAAATTTCCAGGCCATCATCAGATTTAGTCCACTTAGCAGTGCCGATTTACTTTATGTATTGATTATTTGGTTAGCAACTTGCATATGCATGAAATGTTTGCTTCTGTGGGTTTTTCAAAAAAAACAAAACAATAATTCAATAGATTTGTTTGGTCTTATCAATATTTGATACTGAAATCCATGATGGTGCATCCATAATTAATATTTGATATTGAAAATCCATGATATTTGGGCATTACACCAGTTGGTTACACCCTTTGTTTACAGCAAATTCCTTATTGTAGGGATCTGTCATGCATTTTAGAAGAGGGGAAACACATCTTTGAGGAAATATGTTACTTTTAGAGAATAGTGTGCTTTTAGATTGTTTATACTGAAATTAAACACCAAAAATCTTTATACTGGTAAACACAGTTCATGTAAAAAAAAAATTTAAATGCAGGCATATGACAATAATTTCTATATATTTGTTTTGTAGGTATATAAATGTAGATGACATTTATATTGTTAGTATAATACATAGAATTGACATTTTGTTTTCTTTATTTATTTCATATTTTCAGTTTTGTGTTGACATTTTATTTTTTCATCAGCATCACCATATGTTCACATGGCATACAGTAAGTTATGTTTACATGCCATACAGTAAGTTATGTTTACATGCCATACAGTAAGTTATGTTCACATGGCATACAGTAAGTTATGTTCACATGCCATACAGTAAGTTATGTTTACACAGAATGTCTTTTCTTTTAAAGGTAATTATCATGATGATTATCCACTACCTTAATTTCATTCAAGTAACAAATCATTGGGCTCTATATCTGTAACGTGTTCAGTCAGTCCCACAGACAGTCATAAATGAATAGGGCTAGTAATCTTTAGTGATGTAATTTGTGCAAGATAAAAACAAACCAGAGGTCAGTTAATGACGATTACATCATGAATTAAATGACCTTTATAAAACTAACCAGAGGTCATCTGGGGACATTTACTTCATGAATAGAATTAATTTTTATTTGTAGAATTTCATGAACATAAGTTAATGTATTCCTGAACATGCTGTAATATTGGCCAATGGACAATAGGCAACCAACAATGATTGTGCTTTGAAAAAGAACAGTCAGATGCAAGAGTAGAATTTGTGTGATTTTATACTGTAATGTTTTTACAACACTTATGTTATTGAATTAAAACTGTTACTTCCTGTACAGTATAATGTAATAATTTGTACTTTTTTGTTACCTAATGATCTAGAGAAGATCTATGTGTTGACCTTGAATGAATGACATCATAGTGTTGGCTGTATTAAAATACTTATATTTGACAGAGAAGATCTATATGTTTACTGAGAATGAATGACTGTTGGCTGTATTATAAAACTTGTATTTGACAGACCTAAAAAGTTTGATGTTGAAAAAAACTTTGTACAGAATAAAGTATTCTACGAATGCCTTCACTTTGTTTGAATAACAGGTAATATGAAGCATGCATCAATGATACAATCTTACTATAAAAAAAGTTATTAAGGGTTTGTAACTATACCCCACGCAACAAAGTTGCTATGGTATAATGTTTTTGACCCGTCAGTCCTGTTCTTGTCATTGCAACTCCTCTGAAACCACACAACAGAATTTCTTGAAACTTTTTAGATAATTGGGATATAATATGTAGCTGTGCAAATTGCCAGGAAATTATGATTCAATTTTTATGCCCAACCTAGGGGCATTATTTCGGTCTGTGTGTCCGTTCGTCAGTCTGTCCATCTGTCCCGCTTCAGGTTAAAGTTTTTGGTCAAGGTAGTTTTTGATGAAGTTGAAGTCCAATCAACTTGAAACTTAGTACACATGTTTCCTATGATATGATCTTTCCAAATTTTAATGCCAAATTAGAGTTCTGACCCCAATTTCATGGTCCACTGAACATAGAAAATGATTGTGCAAGTGGGGCATCCGTGTACTATGGACACATTCTTTTTTATCTAGGAGTTATGTCCCTTAGAACTTCTGACTCAAAAAAGCTTATAGCAATTTTCATGAAACTTTCGTGAATTGTTTATATAAATTAAAATAATTTTTTTTATAAATTTCTGATATGACATTGCGGCGTTATGGAACTTTATTACTTGAAAAATCATTTTAAAGCATAGGGACGAGCTTAAAGGGTGATGGGCATATCATGCGCTCATGGTGCAGCTCTTTATTTGTCTAGGAGTTGTGCCCTATGAACTTAGAATTTTGGCCTAAATATACTATTGCAACAGTTTGTCATCGCAACTCCTCTGAAACCACACTTAAGAATTTCATGAAACTTTGAAGATAACAAGAACAAACTTTGTTGATGTGCATATCTACAAGAAATTATTATTCAATGGTTTTTCTAGGAGTTAAGCCCCTTTGAACTTAGAATTTGACCTAAATGTTCTACTAATGAGGACATTATATGTAAATGTACATATCCACAAGAAAGTTTTATCAGTTTACTTTTGTAGGAGTCTTGGAAATCTAATGAGATTGTGTTTGCCCAGTGACACTTTTAGATCATGTGGTATGTAAGTGTGCTCACAAAGGTTCTTTAATTTGAATCATGTTATATGGAGTAAAAATTTCAATCCCCTATATTTAAAAGGAAATAAGTTCTTTGAGATAAGTACAATGTACCTACATGTACAGTTCAGGTCTGGGAGATAAGTATCTACATGTACAGTTCAAGTCTGGGAGATAGTATCTACATGTACAGTTTAAGTCAAGGAGATCATGTACAGATGAGGTCTGGGAGATAAATATCTACATATACAGTTCAAGTCTGGGATATAGGATCTACATGTACAGTTCAACTCTGGGAGATAAGTATCTTTATGTACAGTTAAGGTATGGGAGATAAGTATCTACAAGTACAGTTTAGGTCTGGGAGATTAGTTTCTACAAGTACAGTTTATGTCTGGGAGATAAGTATCTACATGTACAGTTCGTCTGGGAGATTAGTATCTTCATGTACAGTGCAGGTGTGGGAGATAAGTATCTACACGTACAGTTCAAGTCTGAGAGATAAGTATGTATATGTACAGTTCAAGTCTGGGAGATTATTATCTTCATGGACAGTTCAAGTCTAGGAGATAAGTATCTTTATGTACAGTTAAGGTATGGGAGATAAGTATCTCCATATACAGATGAGGTCTGGGAGATTAGTACCTACACGTACAGTTCAGGTCTTTGAGATAAGTACAATATATCTGCATGTGCAATTCAGGTCTGGGAGATAAGTATCTACAAGTACAGTTCTGGTCTGAGATAAGTACAATGTATCTACATTTACAGTTCTGGTCTGAGATAAGTACAATGTATCTACATGTACAGTTCAGGTCTGAGTGATTACTACGTATATGTACAGTTCAAGTCTGGGAGATAAGTATGTACATGTCCAGTTCAGGTCTGGGAGATTAGTATTTCCATGTACAGATGAGGTCTGGGAGATGAGACCTGTACAGTTCAGGCCTTGGAGATAAGTATGTAAAAGTACAGTTCTGGTCTGAGAGATAAGTATGTACATGAACAGTTCAGGTCTTTGAGATCAGTACCGTGCAGGTCTGGGAGATAAGTATGTGCATGTACAGTTCAGACCTGGGAGATAAGTAAGTACATGTACAATTCAGGTCTGGGAGATAAGTATGTACAAGTACAGTTCAGGTCTGGGAGATTAGTATCTACATAAAATTGAGAATGGAAATGGGGAATATGTCAAAGAGACAACAAACTGACCAAAGAGCAGACAACAGCCGAAGGCCACCAATAGGTCTTCAACGGAGCGAGAAAATCTCGCACCAGGAGGTGATCCTCAGCTGTCCCCTAAATAAAATTGTGTACTAGTTCAGTGAAAATGGACGTCACACTAAACTCCAAAACATATAAATGAACTAAAATTAAGAAACATACAAGACTAACAAAGGCCAGAGGCTCCTGACTTGGGACAGGCGCAAAAATGCGGCGGGGTTAAACATGTTTTGTGAGATCTCAACCCTCCCCGTATACCTCTAGCCAATGTAGAATAAAGAAACACACAGCAATACGAACAGTAAAAATTCAGTTTAAAAGAAGTCCGAGTCCGATGTCAGAATAGGTAACAAAAGAAACTAAGCAAAATGACAATGATACATAAATAAACAAAGAACTACGAGCAGTTACTGACATGCCAGCTCCAGACCTCAATTAAACTGATTGAAAGATTATGTCTTCATCATAAGAAAATAAAGTACAAGCCCTCCCGTTAGGGGTTTAGTATCATACCATCATAAAATATATGAGAAGAACATAACCCGTATCATGCCAACAACTGGTTTTAGAATACTAGTAAATGTGTTTATTTCCGATGCAAAGACCCTATGAGTGAATCAATATTAATACCAAAATATTCAATCCTGAATGACTTGACAACAGTATCGTAACTATATCCTTTCCGAATAAGTCTGTTTAAAGGTTTGGTTAGCTTTTGAGGTGAATGTCGACATTTTTGTGCTCTATTAAAAAATATTACCATAAAATATTGGATGTGAAATACCTGAACGTAAAAGATGTCTGCATGTTGATTTATATTTACGAATGATGTCCTTGTACCGATGATAAAATTTACTAAATGTTTTGACTAGTTTGTGGTATCGAAAACCCAGGTGTAATAATTTTTCAGTAATACAGAGATTTCTTTCGTTGAAATCAAAACGTTGTTACATACACGAGCGAATCGAACAAGTTGAGATATATAAACACCATACGATGGCGACAAGGGAACGTCACCATCTAAAAATTGATAATTAACAATAGGAAATGAAAAATCATCTCTTTTATCATAAATTTTGGTATTAAGCTTCCCGTTAAAGATAAAGATATCATGTACAGTGCAGGTATCTGAGATAAGTATCTTCATGTACAGTTCAGGTCTGGGAGATTAGTATATCCATGTACAGATGAGGTCTGGGAGATAATACATGTACAGTTCAGGCCTTGGAGATAAGTATGTAAAAGTACACCTGTTGTCTGGGAGATAAGTATGTGCATGTACAGTTCAGACCGGGAAGATAAGAAAGTACATGTACAGTTCAGGTCTGGGAGATAAGTATGTACAAGTACAGTTCAGAACGGGAAGATAAGAGAGTACATGTACAGTTCAGACCGGGGAGATAAGAAAGTACATGTACAGTTCAGGTCTGGGAGATAAGTATGTACAAGTACAGTTTAGAACGGGAAGATAAGAGAGTACATGTACAGTTCAGGTCTGGGAGATAAGTATGTACAAGTACAGTTCAGGTCTGGGAGATTAGTATCTACATGTGCAGTTCAGGTCTCGGAGATAAGTACAATGTATCTACATGTAAAATTCAGATCTGAGAGATAAGTATGTACAGTTCAGGTCTGAGAGATTACTACGCACATGTACAGTTCAAGTCTGGGTGATAAGTATGTACATGTCCAGTTCTAGTCTGGCAGATGAGTATCTACATGTAGAGTTCAGGTCTGGGAGATAAGTATGTACATGTCCAGTTCTAGTCTGGCAGATGAGTATCTACATGTAGAGTTCAGGTCTGGGAGATAAGTATGCACATGTCCAGTTCTAGTCTGGCAGATGAGTATCTACATGTAGAGTTCAGGTCTGGGAGATAAGTATGTACATGTCCAGTCCTAGTCTGGCAGATGAGTATCTACATGCAGAGTTCAGGTCTGGGAGATAAGTATGTACATATACAGTTCAGGTCTGGGAGATTAGTATATTCATGTACAGATGAGGTACAGGCACAATTCAGGTCTGAGAGGTATACATATGGCATATACTCTTGTTGAATATTTTTTACCTCAAGTTAGGATTTGTTTTTTGGACACATGACAATGACTTTTGTTGAAGATTGTTGAGCTTTACTTTGAGTGTATTGCTTGACTTATGATACAAACCTTTGTTGAAGACTGTTAACCTAAAGTTAGGATTAATTTTTGGCTATGCCCCTGACTCCTGTTGAGGCTGTTGATCTCTAGTTTGAATGTATTGCTTGACATATGACATAGACCCTTGTTGAAGACTGTTGACCTCTAGTATGATTTAATGCTTGACATATGGCATAGACTCTTGTTGAAGAGGGCTGACCTCTTGTTTGGATTTATTGTTTGACATTATGTCACTGACACTTGTTGAAGACTGTTGACCTCTAGTTTTGATCTAATATTTGACACATGGTACCGATTCCTGTTGAAGATTGTTGAGCTTATGTTGGGATTTATTGCTAGACATTAGTCGCTGACTCTTGTTGAAGATTGTCGAGCTCTAGTAGAGATTTATTGGTTGACATATGTCATCCACTCTTGTTGAAGACTGTTGAGCTCTATTTTGGATTTATGGTTTGACATACAGAACTGACTATTGTTGACCTCTAGTTTGGATTTATTGCTTGACATATGACACGACTCTTGTTGACC